CACCTTTGCCATACTCTGCTGGCTACAAGCAAGTCACATGTCACACCCACAGTCAAGGGTGAGGATCCATAATAGCATGAAAACCATTACATAGTCCAGTGGTTCCAAGACTGAAATGATCTTCAGAATCACCTAGAAACTTAAAATCTCAGATTCAGAACCCACTCCTACACCTGCTAAATTAGACTTTCTGGAAGTAAACCCAAGGTGTTTTTGTTAAACCAAGTTCTTTATGAGAGTCTGATGGTGAACCAAGTTTAGAAGCTACCATTGTAGACATTTTCAGTAAGTAATTACTACACCTTTTCCCAGTCTCCAAACTACATTTCCTAGAGTTGAGATATAGATTTATTTTTTAACTAAATATCTGTCCAGTGACTCTAATGACTCTATTATTGTGTAAAAATGGCATTAAATTAATTGATATTATTAGTTGATTACAAACCCCACTCCAACACCAAACACAAAGAATGAGGAAGGAAGTGAAGGGGGTTCATGATCAAGTCTCCTTCACCTCACTCATGTCAAACTCTTGTCACACAATAATGCCAACTCTAACCTACCCTCAGACAACCCACTTCTCACAACGAAACGTGTTTACAGATGTGCTATCGACATGATTTAAGGTAAAATAAAAAGAACACTGATAATAGATGGGCATTTTGATTTTTTACTGATAAACCATGATTTTTATTGAATACATAATAGAGTACAATTAACAATAACATAACATTTAAAATTTAAACTTTCAGAATTACCTTGATCGATATATAAAGCTTTAGTTTGGGGGGAAAGAATGCTTCATTTCAACAGTATGTGTCACATATGCAAAACAGCTTCTCAAAATAGGAGATTTATGAACAAAATTTTATAAACCTTCCTGTGTTCATAAGAAATTGACTCTACCACGTCAACTGCAACCTCCTAAAAATCCAAAACATAAAGGCTTGAGGGACCAGGATAGAGCCATATTGTATTGAAGCTATTAAAGCTAAATCTCAAAGAAGAGTGGTAAACTGTGGCCTCATCACAACATGAGATAGAATTCTTCTTAAATATGTGGCTACATATATCAGTATCATCCCTATTCCAGAGACACACGCACGCACACGCACACGCACACCCAGCCTTCCTTGACATGAGAAACTCAGAAATCACCTAGAAAATATCTATTCTCCTGTGTAAGAATAATAATGGATGTCAAAATGACAACATTCTATGGAATGATGCAATGTGGCACTGTCTTTGGATGAGGCACACAAAAACAAAACTCATTGGCTAGAAATAATTTTGAAACAAGCCTACTCCCACTGCTATGGACTTAATAAAAAAATGTATAGTTAATATTTAGTTTCCTGAAGTAAAACAACAGACCTCTATTCAAAGTAGTGGTAAAAATAATTGCAACTCCAATTACTCCCAATGTAACTTAAGATACTTAACATAAATATTATTCAAATAGAAAATAGAAAAATTTTAAGTTCCTACAAGTATTATGCTTTACTAGAAGTTGAAAACAAAGGAAAGTGAAGACTATGCTCTTCTGTTTAACAGAAGCCTCTATGGAGAGTAAAAAGGTTCTGAAGCTTACCCAAGAGTGAAACCACTTACTATAAGTGTCGCAGATTTACAATGTGCAAGAAAATGACGCACCCAAGGATAAATACACAATGGCACCTGGACCCATAGTAGCCACTTGGCAAGCTCAAAATATCTATTGTCCTTGTGTTAAGAAACCTTGTCAAGGCGGTTTTTACAACATAGTTTTATAGAAATCAGTATTAAACTTCAATAACTCAAATTATAAAAAGTAAGGCTGTTACAAATAACTCCAGGTTACATACCAACAGGCTATTAAGATGGCTTCTTTTTTAAATGGCCCAAAGAAATCATAGCTCCAATTATTTAAAAAATGTCATAGGACAGCCAGAAATGTTTAATGAAATAAATGAATTATATAAAAATAAAGATAATTGATGTTATATTGCCAGACTATTTATAACTATATTTAACATAAACAGAAATTAGGGCTAAACATAACTTTAAAAAAATAACTATACCCAGGTATAAAAGAATGGGAGCAGGGAGAATTATGCTATCTACAATTCTGAAAATTTCCACATGTAGGATATGGTATTGCATATAGAAGTAACAAACTGTTAGGTAATAGATACATATCTGGATTTTATATTAGCACAATACTCCTTGAATTTTACTATAATCAACATACTAAAACGAAGATATTATTGTTATAACATATGGAAAACATAAAGTACAATAGGTAGTAAGATGGTAAAAACAAATATAAAAGCATTGTTCTGTTCTTGAATTGTTTTGCTACTAGTTTTCCCAACATTCAGTCTCTGGAACCATTGTTCACTCCAAACTGGAAGTGAGGAATGCTGGTGTTAATAAGGCTCCCAGTTGATGGAAAAAGAGGGGAGGGGGCGGCTTTAAATTAGTTCCTATCGGTAAATGAAATTGATGGCATCCTCAATGCAATTTAAGTCAGCATAAGCAAACTTACAGGTAAAGTGAGTTTTTACTATTACTCATAGCATGTGAAGAAAACAGTCTATACCATTAATGTTCACTACTACGTATCCTCCTTTCTCCTTATTTCTGTGGCTTTTTAATCACTTTTCATCTAAACCCATGGCCTGTAGCAGGCAAGTCTTCTGAGACATGAAGGAGGAAGTCCTAATTTTTAAATGAGGAAATATGGTCTAAAAAATATTCAAAGCCCGGCCCCATGGCTAAGTTGGTTGGAGCATCATCCCATGCACCAAAAAGTTGCAGGTTATGGAAGGCAATGGATCAATGTTTCTCTCACACATCAATGTCTGTCTGTCTCTCTATCTCCCCGCCCCCCCATTTTCCTCCCCCTCCTTTCTTCCCTCCTTTCCTTTCTCCCTTCCTCTCTAGAATTAATAAAAAATATCCTCGGGTGAGGATAAAATAAAAAAAGATTCAAACTATCTTCCACTGGCCTGTCCATTCTAGGGTTTTCTAATATATTACACTCAAAGTTCAGTATAAATTATTCACCAAAGAATATAAGGTATTGGTGGTCAGCAGGGCAGGGTAGGAGGTACCTTTGTTCCCCCCTACCCCTCATCGCCAGCTTTATTACACCATACAGGAGGCCCACACATGTGATATCCAATTACATAAAACAATGCTTATTCTAGATCAGAGTGTTCAACAATGTGACAGAACTTTTCCCCACTTGGAAACAAACACAGGAAAATTATTTGTTTGATATTTAACTGCTCTGTCTCCATAGACCTCTCCAACTTGGAAGCACTGAATGCTGGTGATTTCTACTTTGGTATCCAACATATCCATAAACAATAATACATGAACATCCACTCGACTACACTTTCTTAAAGTTAACAAAAAATAAAATTGTCTTTAAAATTCATTTTAAAAGATATATTTGCATACTTTATTTTTGACAGCTTTATTTGTAAACAGTTGAAAATATTGTAATGCAGACGCTCTGGAGCCCATGGCAATTATTTTTCCCAGGTCCGCTTGAGAGGTATGCCATGGACGTAAGGAGTAATATTAAAACATTTCTTAGATTTAGTAAAAGTTCTTTCATTTATTTTTTATATAGCTAATATATTTTAATATATTTAGAAGGGGAAATAGGAAAAAAGAAGGAAAGGGAAGACAGAGGGAGGAGAGAAAAGAGAAAGAATAGGAAAGGGATTCTTCTTTAAAGATTTCACCCAGATAAATGAATATTATGACCCAGGTGCTCACAATTCAGGAAACTTTTTAAGCATTCGCAGCAAGTATCAGATGGCCCCAGATGGCCCACAGTGTGGTACTCAGACGCTGGAGCCTAGAAGCACTTCGGCAGGTCCCCGGCAATGCCCTACATACTTCACTTCAGCCATCACGTCATGACTCTGGTCCCTGGCAAACCTCAGCTGCTTTTGCAGACCAGAGAAGTCACTCTGCCATGACTTATTGAAGATTTTGTCATAGCCCTGGCTTATCACCCCCTATTTCTAACAAAACGTGCGCCTCCTGGCCTAGGGCCTTCTAATCTAAATCATGTAAGGCAAGTATTGCAACGCGCTCCAACCCTCCCCCTGAAACAGAGCCAGCGTGTGGGCTGAGGACATGAGAAGAACAGCATACCCAGGACCTTTTCGGGTAGTTTTCTGTAAACACCTCAACCGCTGCCCCCACCAGCGAAGCACAGGAAAACACATTCCCTTTCCCATTCTTCTCTCCAGAAGAAAAATAGAGGAAGAGTAAAGGTATGTGGTATATGATTACATTTGGAGTGGAAAAACCACATTTTGATTTTAAAAAATTCACCGTCGACATTGGAAAAAGGGGGATGTGATATGCAATGGGAAAGGAGGTACAGAGACCATGGCGGTGTGCTGGGCTGGGCTGGGGAGCAGTGTTAAGGCGGATGTGGGAAGGGGACAGAACACGCTCCTCCTTCTGGCTGTTTTCTCCCAGTTCTCAGGGAATTCGTCTTTAACACTAAAAACTAATATGACCGAAGCTACTTTAAAATGGAGTCAGAGCTGTGCGAGCCTGATGCCTCACACCTTCGGGAGGTTAACACAGGGCCAAATAACCTACAGCGGCACTGTGTCTGCAAGGACAGCCAGGAAGCAGCTGTTGTGACTACCACACTGATGGCTACGGGGCTGAAAATGAAACACAGCGCTCAGAATGAAACATCGCTAGGTTAGCTTATCTGCACCAATAGGAGCACCTGCCTTCTAATGATGTCATTGCTTTCCTTCCCTTTCTCATAATTCCCCCTTGTCTTTGTCTCCTAACCCGAACACGATCTGGGCTTCTGCCTGAATCAGTGCTTTCCAAGTAACGATTCCTTTTTATCTCAAATAAATCCTGATGCCTCTAGCCTTGGCCTTTTATTTTTAGGTTATCAATACTAAAGGAAAGACTGCTGTTTAACAAGTCTAAAGAACCTCATTTCCTCTGGAAAATGAAAAGAAGAATGGATCTAAAATAACACATTTATTCTGGAGAAAACAACACCTCCTCCAAAATCCTGAAATATTTTAAAGAGGGGAAAAATAAAGATATACAGCTGCAATAATTCGCCATTTTGTTGCACACGGAAGTCAGGTGAAGAAATCTATGCAGCCATACATACTAGGACCTGTGGTACAGCATCCCCCTCAACCCCACAAAAAGAAGGGAAAAAAATTGTTTTTCAAAATAGTCAGAAGCAACATTGGATTATGAAAATAAGACAATCACGTGTGACTCTGGACATGGGTCCCACCGAGCCCTTAAAAAGTAAGTCACAGCCAACGCTGCAAAGGGGACAGAAGCATGAAACAGAAAACGAAAACAACTGGAGAGTGACGGAGGGCGGCCGGCGCGCCGCTCGCGCTCTCGTGGGGGCAGCTAGAGAGGTCACAGGAGGACAGCTTCACTTTGGAGTTGTAACTTCTCACCGCGCGTCTCCCTGTTCAAAGAGGAGGACATCAGTTTACACGTCTCCCTTGCTTAGAAACGTTTCCTTTGCCAAAGCTTAAAAGCATTTCAATGCACTTTCCTGAGTTTTCCATTCTCCATACAATTTTGTTTTTCTTTACAAGAAACAAGTGAAATGGTCCAGAGGGGCCCACACTGCTAACCAAATCCAAGTGGGGAACAGCGCTTTCGGGCCAGTCTGTGCACCACCCACAGCTGCCGGCATGGACAGAGAAAACGGGCTGCGGCTGCCTGCTTGGGGCAAGCCCAGCCCGGGGCCTCATGGAGCGGGACAGACTTTCAGTGAAGGGTTGTTTCACTGCCTCCAGCGTTTCTTTTAGAGCGATATCGTCTGTGCACTCGAGAAAAAGTTCTGGCCATGAGAACTACTGAAAAGAGATACTTACATTGTATGTTAACTATAATTGAAAAATAAATTATTTTTTTTAAAAAAACAGAAAGAAGGTATTTACAAAGGGCTTTATTTAAAAGTACAAAAATATGAAGAAAATGCACTGCCTTGTTTCAATGCTTTAAAACGGTGATTTTCCAACCGGTGTGTCGCAAGAATTTTTACAACATGCAATACCTCTCGATTGAGTCAGGGGCACTGCCCTCCTCTCCCTTAGATTGCCAAGTAAAAGAAGGACAACAGTCAATACAACCATAGCTGTCCAATGCGAATGAATCAAAATTATACCTATTTTTTTGTCAGGTCAGCAAAAATTATATTTTTGGGGGGGTAGAGCAGAATTTTAGTAATTAGTTTATGTGTGCCATGAGATGAAAAGGATTAAAAATTGCTGCTTTAAAACACTGAGAACATAATCTTCTAAAAAGTACTCAGCTTTGGTAAATTTTATAGGATAAGCTAATATGAAACAAACTATATAAAGCACTTATAACACTCTAATGAACTCATTATAAAACAAATTACTTTAATTTTTACAATTATCAAAAATATTCTATCTTCAGATTTCTTCCTATTTAATTTTTTTTAATGTTATAAATATGTTTTCTACCTTTAGGATTTTCAAAAATGAGATGGTAGGCTTTTAAAACGCTGATCTTTCCCACGTGTTCATTTAAAAATGTGCCTTTCATAAATAAGTTGTTTTCCACACACAAAAGTAAATTTACATTGACTGAACCTCTTTGGTTTCTTAAAGGTTGAAAATGTTCTCCGTAACACCTAAGGAACATCACTTGGGAAATTCTGCAGCGAGGTCAAATAACAAAGTTGGATAACTAGGTACTATCCTCGCGTCTCCACAGCATATCCGGCCCTTCTGACAGAAACACGGTTCAACATCAGTGGTTCCCCAACATGTCCCACAAGGACCTTGTAAATGATCAGTTGTCTTCATTTAAATGAAAAGCTTACCTCCTGCTCCCCTACCTCCTACACTTCCCCTAACAATACCCCCCACCACAAAACCAATCCAGCTGGTGACCACTTTGAATAAATGAATTAGTGAGTGAGTGAATGAATGAAGGGATGGATGGGTGGATGCCTAGCTTAACTCCTACAGTAACAGGAAGTCAGAACTCACTTACTTGGTTCATAGTAATCCACTATGGACACAGAAGCATCTTGTGCATTTGAAACTTTAAAGTTTCTCACAGCAGGGATATCAACACAGAACTGGGTTTCATTGACCTTGAAAAATACAAAAGACTTTTAAGAAAATGGCAGACTATGTGTTCATAAAAAAGTAAAAGATATTTCTTTTTCTTATTTTAGGAGACATACAGAAACTAACATTTAGGGAGCACTTCTACATGCCCGATACTGTGGTAAGCACTTTATATAAATTATCTCATTTAACCATAAACTACCCTTACAGGACAGGTATTGTTCTTACTTCCATTTTACTGAGAGGGAGAGATACTGAGTGGTCAAGCAGCAATCCCAAGGACAAATGCTCTGAGGCCCTGCTGCCTCACCCAGACCCCCTGCCTCAGGTAGTGCACCCACAGCAGTTCCTGCTAATAGCTCTCAGCAGCCCCTTATCTGGAGAAAGGCCCTGAGCTCACAGGAGCCACTTCTCCCAGTGAGTGAGGTAACCCTGGGGTGGACGGGTACACCGGGGAGGCGGGAGCACCCCACAGCCAGTGACTGATAGGAAGTACAAAAGGCCAGCCTCCTGGCTTCTAAGAGGGGCAGCTTATGCCAAGCTGGCAAACAAAACTGGTTAAGGAATCCAAAATTGACAAATGCCTTCAAACATTCCATCATATACCAATTAGCAGTAAATAAAAATTCAAATTAATCTGTCAAAATATAATGGACACTCAAATTAAAATAACTCTATTAACAAGAACATTTCGAGTATAGGACAACCTTCAAAACCAATTATGTTATTAAATAAAAACTCTAAATTTGTTCTTCAAGTTCTAAATCAGGCCTGTGGCTTTCAAGCAGTTATTTAGTATAAGAAAATTCCTGAACAGCAAAAGAATCCTAGAGACCCTGAATTAATTTTAACAGGTTTTTAACCACTGTGACTTTTGAAGTCTTAAAACAATGAGAACATTCAAGAACTAGCTTTTTAAAAGTAGATATATTGCTAAAGCAATATATTTCTGATTCATATTTGGCAAAACTGGAATAAAAAAAAATACATATTCCCCTCATGTAACATGAAATCCTAAAACACTTAGAACTCAATTTCAATTCAACCTATGAATTTCATATAGATGTTAGAAGAAAAGAATAAACTTACAGACCAGCAGTTTTGAGACATAAGTAGAGTCTTGAATTCTTCACTTACATTATTCTCACATATTTTATGCACCTTATTCTTGAACCAACAATTTTCATACAGCAATGGGAAGTATGTATGAAAATTATGTAATAATTACATATAAAGACCAAACTTCTGAAAATATTCTGCTATGATGTAAGCACCTGACATCAATGAAGGAATATTAACCCACTTTGGGATTTATTTAAAGCTTCATAAAAGCATTTTAAAACATGTAAATAAAGCTTCCATCATCAGCATTTAAACGAATATGTTTAGCAATTCCCTGAGGTGAGGGAGGGGTTCTCAAAGTGAGATCTGGACTTGATTTTTAAAATTCTAATGTGGCAGTTTCTATATATTTATTTTACATCTGGCATGAAATAACGATTTGGTTATCAAGACTTTCACCGGGGTCATCATTAATAGCAATGTTCTTTAATAAAACTAATTCTATAATGATGTCTTTTTAATGAGAACAAATATAAGGTTGCTGTGTTAAAGTCACTCAGGGACACAAAATGCTGAAATAACAACTTAAAGAAAACATGTGTAAAGTAAGGGAGACTTTGAACACAAGACATGGAGGCTCTGTCAATGGTCACCATGATGAAACGGGTTTCACTACTTACAGAATCCAAGTATAGGTTGAGTTTCCCCTGATCGCTCTCCACTTTCTTCACTGTCTCGCTCAGAGGAATTGCATCTGACGGCACAGTGAAACCGCTGAGCAGGTTCACCTCCATGAGGGCCATGCCACTTCTTTCTGGGCCCAGAAACCTACATCGAAAGGAAAGGATGGAAGAAAAACCAAAAGCTGCTGGCAAACTATCTTCATAGAAAAGTTAAAACTGCCAAGTGTCATTTCAAATATTACTATATCGTTCCAATAAAAATCACTGCAGAAAACTGTAAAAGAGGTCATCCTTTCCTTCCAGGTGTGAACGCCTCATCACTTCCAACCACAGGAGGAATAATGGTAGAAAATGTGTGCACTTCGCAGACAGTGCGAAACGCCTGCCATGCAACAGGCCTGGGTAGGCTGTGACAGGTACAACCTCGGTGCCCGTTCAGCAGGCAACTCTGTTTTTGAGTGGTGACTCCAAACTGAATTGCATTTTCTCAAAAGCTGACAGCCCGAAAGGTTCCCGCAGGAAGCCAGGACGGACACAGAGTCATCGTTTACCACCACTTTGCAGCAGAGCTAGGCCAAGTCTTTAGCAACCTTGCCTTCATCTGGTTTTACGTCCTTCCCTTTGTTCTCCCGCAGACTTGGAGCACATTTTGTGTTTTCTTTGGCCACCTGGAGACAGGGACCAGCCTCGGAAAGTTTTATCACACCTCCTCGTTCCCTCACACTGCTGTACACAATGTCAGCATCAAAGCACCTGGGCACCAACCACATTTTGTCTCCTTTAAAGTAAATATTTTTCTAAAATGAAGAGCTGGCAAGAGCTGTCTGTTTGGAGCAGAAGGAGCCCAGTGTGGTTACGGGAAGAAGTGTGTCTCCAACATGAAAGGATCATAGCATTGTTAAGTGAATTCCTGGTGTCCTTTCCCGCAGCAAACCCCAGCAGGGCTGGCAGAAAATCTTGCTTTTTAGAACAACGAACCGATGACCGATGGAAAAGCCATACAGTACAACTGCTGACTGCAGTTGGCTCAGCAATCCCAACTGTAAAGTCTCTTGATTCAAGAACTTTCTGTCTGGCCGGTGTGGCTCAGTGGTTGAGCAGTGGCCAATAAATTAGGAGGTTACTGGTTCGATTCTTGGTCAAGGCACATGCCCAGGTCATGGGCTTGATCCCCACTAGGGGGCAGGCAGGAGGCAGCCAGTCGATGATTCTCTCTCATCATTGGTGTTTCTTTCTCTCTCTCTCTCTCTCTCTCTCTCTCTCTCTCTCTCTCTCTCTCTCTCTCTCCCTCTCCCTTCCTCTCTGAAATCCATAAACAATGCTTTTTTAAAAAAGAACTTTCTAAAGGAGCTGCTCTCAAACTTGTGTGTCTTGTGTGTGTGTTAGAATGAGCAGAAAGCTGAGGACCACAACTTCACAGACTCGCTCCACTATACCTTTGAGTGGAGCCTTTTTTCCTTATGATTTAACAAGATCCTCAGATGCACTGGATACAAACCAAATTTACAAACACCTTACACGTACTCCCAGAAGCTATACGTGCCTAATTATCCACGGTGAGACCTTCTAAATTGGAATATTTTCACTATCTAAAAAAAGAAAATGAAACTATTCTCGTCATTGAACTTGCCTGCTCTTATGAAATTTTGAGTTAAAAATATAACATTCACCCTAACTGGTTTGGTTCAGTGAAAAGAGTGTCGGCCTTTGGACCAAAGGGTCTTGGGTTTCATTCCGGTCAAGGACACGTACCTTGGTTGCAGGCTCCTCCCCGACCCATTCCCTGGTCAGGGCTTGTGCAGGAGGCAACCGATCGATACGTTTTCTCTCACATCAATGTTTCTCTCTGTCTTTCCCTCTCTCTTCCACTCTCTCTAAAAATCAATGGAAAAATATCCTCAGGTGAGGATTAACAAATAAAATTTTTTTAAAAAATAACACTGAATACTAAATATGAACCTGGAATAATTGCTTAACATAAAAATGACAAAAAAAAAAACAACCAGTAATAACCAATTTGGATGTATTAAGTGTGATTGGTTATTTTCCAGTTTTCATCAATTAGACCTGAGTTTTAGTAAATTTTTCCATGCAAAGGTTTTATAAGTACGAAGAAAACTTGTAAATAATGTTGGACACATTGAGAAATGCTTAAATATTATTAGCAGTTCACACATGTCTAGTTGAAGTCTAAAGTATAATGCATAACAAATCTCTGTTCAATGTAACTCCTTCTGTATTGATATAGTTAGATATATATAAATAATTAAATCTTCAAATCTTTTCTTTTGTAAAGGGGAATGAGGAGAGTTAAACAGATACCAACCTTGTGCATACATTCAAATTCAAATGATTGATATCATCTTCATTATCTTTTACAGCAACAGCTAAGTCAAAGACTTCTTGACTTTGGATTGATTTTTGGTTTTTGTAAGACTCTGAATCTTTCACATTATAAAAAACATTTAGCTGCAAAAATAACAAATTAGCATTAATAACAAATTAGCAATAAATTGTTAGCAATAAATTACCATCATTATGTTTTCTAAATGTTAGGTAATGATTATCAACTACATTCACAAACTCCAACCTAGAAAAAAATTAGTTTTACTAGCTAACAAAGTATCATTAGTAACGAACATTGTTATGAAAGTTTATAAGTAATGATTTTTAAAACTGAGAAAAGTTTGCTAACATTCCAAAACAAGTGTCATAGATTATCATGAATGATAGTCATGGGTATTGTTTTCTTCCAAAGAATGTAAAACATTCCCTATTGGGAAAAAGTGAAACTACTGCCAACTTTCTTTCTTTATTATTATTTCTTCTTAATCCTCACTTTAGGGTATTTTTCCCCTTGAGTTTCAGAGAGTGAAAAGGGTTGGGGGAGGAGAGAGAGAAACATCTATTGCCAACTTTCTTAAGAGTGTCCACTAATTTCTAAACTCTGCTGCCCAACTGAAGTCATCTTTCACACACTGGAACCTTAGAAACTCTAAGATAAAACAAAGCTAAAACATCTAAGAGTCTTGGTGGGACAGAAACCTATTCAACTGCTCAGGATTCTTTTTTTATCATATATCTTTCAGAGATGATAAAGTAAATAACGGTTTTCAAGTCAACTGGGTCTTTTCCAGCATTTCCATACTCTGTGTCCACCAATAATGTGAAGTCCTGTGTGGACACTGGGGAGTGTGAAAACCAGTGTTTTACTCAAATGAATCCTAAGATCAGAAGCTTGGGAAAATTTTCTAGGCCTGCCTCATGCCACGTTGAACTGGGATCTAAATTTTTTACCTCTTCCACATTTTTTGATCCAAGGTTCATAAGCCTTCCTATTGCTATGTAAGTTGTATATTTTTTCTGCTTTATACTTAAATCACACACACAGAGAACTAAACCTCTAATACCCATTGTGGATTTACATACTATTAAAAATCCTTTCTCTGAGCCTTCATCTTTTAAACCCAAGATTTCCAACTTTTCATTCTGCCACTCCTAGCTCAAATCCTTCATCCCCTTGATCATTCTTGTTTTCTCACCCTGGAAATTCTCCAACTCTTTCTTTAACTACAACTAAAATTATATAGAGTATTTTTGGAGCAGTTGAAGGAATGGTTTCATAAATTTGGAGAGATGATCGCTATTACTTTCATCATCCCTCTTCCAGTGGCATGCAGTTGTCCTTTAAGAACCAATACCATCAGGACACAAACAAGGACTATTAAATTTGTCCTCTGGGACATAAGTAATGTCATCTATAACTAAGTATTAGGGTTTATGTTTGGCCCACAATAAAGTTCAACTGCTCACTCAGAGAACTTCAAAAGATCTTGCAGCTTATTTCCAACAGCTTAGCATTTTATTGCTCAAAAGAAATTAACAATTACTGTAAAACTGAGTTTTCTTTGCCATTCTTTTTCCAGGGCCCTTAGAAAAATATCAACTAGAGGAAATCTCAAAATTTATTCCAGCGTGACCTTCTTTCTGCAATGTTTGTCTCCATCATGCGCAGGGCCTTTTAGTCCCTACCTTTTGTTTTCTGCACGTTGATAAACACATAGGACTGATGAACACTCTGACCAGTAGGTGCCATATTTACCACTCTGCCCTTCAAACCTCAAGTAAAAATCATTTGGCTTAAGGAATTTGTGTACATTTGGTTTATCGAGAATGAGTGCCAACCAATTTGGTGAATAAAGTATACTTACATAATTTTCCAATTGTATCTAAAATATCCTGTGTATTTACTTTCAGATTTACTGTTTGCATTGAAAGATGGTTTAGGGATGAGAATTTTCACCCGGTCTTTGTTAGTAAAGACCAATACAAACTCTTCGCTCTTTTTTCTTTCAATCTTTTTCATTGAATACCATTCCTTTTAACTGTGATCACTTTTCCTTGATTTTTAAAAAACATTCACTTGTTCTGAGTATCAGAAAAATTAATCTGAGAATTATTTGGAAGTTCCCAAATTATACCTAAGCTTCTGCCTTACTTAGCAAGTGTTTCTGCTCTCTTGTCTAGAACAACTGTCCTGGTGTTTTAAAAAAGTCCATTTTCTGTATAATAGCCTTTTTTTTTTTTTTTACTTTCTCAGTAAATCTTTCAGGGTTTGTTTGGTTTGTTTTTTCTAACCAAGCACATAATCATTGTTGGTCCTATCACATATTATATTGGGTTTCTAATGAAATGATTTTTAGTTCCTATGATTTTCATGTATTATTTAGTATAATAATTATTTCATCCTATATTTCATCCTGTATTTTTCATGCTACTTTCATTTTATTCTAATCCCTATTGCATGATAAAAGGTAGATTTCTTTGGATTTTCTTCCTGTACCAGAACATTAAGCATATCATGCTCTAGTACAGGACACATTTCCTATCTTTAGGTCAATTACTTGTAATGCCATGTTGACCTTTATATTGTTTGATGAATATTAAGTTGTAAGTAAAACGCATATTTATTTATCAAGTCATAGCATTAAAATTCAGAGCTCTATTTCCATAAAATAATGTGGGAGCTCCCAACAATTCACAGGAATAGTGTTGGAGGATTTTCGTTCTCACTTCAAGCTGTATATAATAACCAAGAAATATTTATCCAATAGATTATCAATCCATAGAGTTGCTGTCTATTCTCCAGCTAATAACGTCTCTAATAGTGATTTATCTTGCCTAACTCATATAAATAAATCATTAAGGATCTATACATTGTCTAACTTAAAGATTTAGCAGTGCCCCAAACCAAAGAATTGTTATAACAAGTCATATTTAACCAAATATTATTACATACCTGACAAACAGCAAATCCATAACCATCTGCGGAAATATTAACTTCAATTGGCACTGCCACAGCAAGCTGAATAAAGGTGGGGGAAAGTGAATAAGGCGAATTTTCCATATCTAGGTCCTTCCAAGTAGCACAAGAGGTCAGTGTGATTCCTCATTAGGGATACAGTGTGAGCAATCTGTGGAAAGCTCTAAGAACTTTACAGGGCCTCACATATCAAAAGCTCTGGGTCAACCATGACAGAAGTGAAGTTAGAGAAAGTAGCGCCCACTCTTCACACGCCCTCACCTCTGCCCTTTAGAAAAGCACATTAGCGCTAGGGGTAGGCCTGCCCTTCTTTAGGGGCTGATGCATGAAAGACAAGAAACACGCCAGCTCTCTCCATTGACCTCCCTTAGTCAGTGCCTAATCCTTTGGTCATGCTGGGCACCCAGTGACACATCATCATTGCCTATGACTAAGGTTATTCCTTCTTTTCCTTTGCCATAGCCCCTCTTCCTCAGTTTCCAGCCTTGAAATTATTACTTTCATCCATTACGCTCAAGTTCCCACAAGGTTACCCAGGGAGATAAGGTTAGGGTCTAGCATAGGCCTTTATTCCATATCAAAGTAAGAATTCTAATACTGGTTTTATCAATTCTCTAATGAGGACAGGTGGGGCAGCTGAAAAGAACATGGTCTTTGAAAACCATGGGTTCAAGTCGTAGCTCTACTGTTGTTAGTAGCATGATCTTGAGCAAGTTTTTAACCTCGCTCGGCCTCAGTTTTATCATGTGTACAACAGGGATAAAAGTAAGAAAATATCTGCTGGATGGAACTTACTTCTTAGTGCTGGTTTGAGAAATAAGTGCAGTAGCACATGTAAAGAAATTGAGCACGATTCCTGCAAAGAACAGTATCTCAATGGGTGTTCATTCTGGTCCCAATATGTCAGGGCCCATGTTTTCTCCTTTTCAAAATTCCCATCCCCTCCTCCCTTCCCCAGCTCAGCAAATTCAACCAAAGGAGTGTGCTCCTTCCTCCCAGTCGCTACAGGGCTCTGGGAACAAGTCTTTGTTGAAATCAATAGAACAGAGTTAAAACCATTTTCTACCCTACAGAGTCATCCGCACAGAATTTTAAATAGCCACCCCTTGTCCACACCTCTGCCGACTGGAGCATAAAGTAGTTCTGTGCGTCAATCAGAAACGTTACAGGACTTGGTGCCACAGACCCCGTTATGGTCACTTGCATATGTGTCCCTTCTGTGTTCATCAGGACTGCAAATTCAGACAGGGCCTTCAAGGCCACAATGGTGTCCTGTTGAGAAAAGAAAACCATGTGTGTATACAAGTATACATCAAGGTCAAATACAGTAATGTTTAGGAACCCCGCTATACGGTCATCCCCCTTCCCTGAGGGTGGAAGTCTCCTTTATTCATCTTTGAATCTCCTTGAGAGGCTCAGAAAATATCGGCTGGACAGAACTCCCCATCTACAATATCAGTTACCACGGATGGGAAAATGGCTAATACAGATGGGGAACTAATTTATTCCCTATAAATATCAGAGGCGATATTTATATCCATGATGAGAAAAAGTTAAAATGAGTAATTTAAACCTTTGGCTTAAGTTACTTAACTTTTAAACTGCTAAGTAATTTGATGAAGTCATGAAAAAAAAGCAACTACATACTTCCTAAAGCTATGGGTGGATGGGTGGATGGATGGATGGATGGATAATAAATTTAAAACTGTCATGACTGCCCTAGCTGGTTTTGCTCAATGGATAGCGCATCGGCTGCAGACTGAAGGGTCCCAGGTTTGACTCCGGCCAAGGGCACATGCCTGGGTTGCAGGCTCGATCCCCAGTAGGGGGCGTGCAGGAGGCAGCCTATCAATGATTCTCTCATCATTGATGTTTCTATCTCTCTCTCCCTCTCCCTTCCTCTCTAAAATCAATAAAATATATTGAAAAAAATAAATTAAAAAAAACTGTCATGACTCACCTGGGTAGATACAAAACCTCCCAAGCTGTTTCTTTGCCTGCTCAGCCACCTCATAATTGCGATTCCATCAGAAACCCGATTCTGCAGGAAGTGTGAGTGCAGCGCATAGGCTGCGACTTCGATATCCAGGGATCTGGGCTGCCAGGACTCAGAAAGTCCGGACGCTGATGACACCCAGAATAGCATGTCTCCTGCAAGAGAAAAGTAATGCCAGAATGACCAATGACAGAAAACCTACATTTTATACCATTAAATATCCTTACACTGATCCAAGTTCTAGTTGGCTAACATAAAATGATTTCTATTGCTTTATATGTATATATGTATGCCAAATAAAACATGTATATTTAAACACACACATGCATGCACAGATATAAACATGTACTTATACATCACTTTTTAAACTATTGAAATATAAATTTTCATTCTTTCCCTATTGGTTATATGTGAGGATGTTTTCATGAAAATATTTTCCCAAAAGATATCCATATGTTTGGCTCTAGACTCAATAGCTATAAATAAAAGAAAAAAAAACATACTATATTCCAGAAAATAATGTACATAACTTTTCTGAACAGGCCATCACAAAAATATTTTAGAATACATTGGAAAGAACCCTGCTCTGGGAATCAGCCATTAACCAGCTCTAATGTTCTGGGAAACCTCTCCTTCATTATCTGAAAGTTGGTGTTATAAGTTCCAAATCCAAGCCCCCAAGAAAAAAATGAGGGGCCCTGGCCAACTCAACAATCTTCCTAGAGATATTCCTACGAGCCGCTGGAGGAGCATCCTATTTGGTGCCCCCCCCCTCAAATATTACTGTTTAGATGATGATTACACTTGGGTGGAATGTATAATAACTGCCAAGCGGAGGAGAAGATACGTCAAGGACTGCTTCAGCCTCTGTGCAATAATCTTTATCCCCAGCACAACAATAGGTGATAAGGATTCAATCTGTTACAGCCTCAGAAGTCTCAAAATACTTTCTACAGTTATCCCTTCTTGAATTAACAGAGCTTTGAAACAGCTGTTTCAGCCCACTCATCCCCATATCTATCTATCTAACTACACATTCACAAGCACACACACACACACACACACACACACACACACACACACACCCTGAATCCCTGACTGTAGAGGCCATTTGGGAAGTGACAACATCTGTAGGTTTTGCCCTGCTGTAGGCCCTAAATCAGTGGTTCTCAACCTGTGGGTCGCAGCCCCTTTGGGGGTCGAATGACCCTTTCACAGGGGTAGCCTAAGACCATCGGGAAAACACATATATAATTACATATTGGTTTTGTGATTAATCACCATGCTTTAATTATGTTCAATTTGTAACAATGAAAGTACATCCTGCATATCAGATATTTACATTATGACTCATAACAGTAGCAAAATTATAGTTATGAAGTAGCAACGAAAATAATTTTATGGTTGGGGGTCACCACAACATGAGGAACTGTATTAAAGGGTCGTGGCATTAGGAAGGTTGAGAACCACTGCCCTAAATAGTCCCCATTCAAAAATATATATATCCTACCCATAATTCACTAACAGCATTTGTCTGGCATTTGTGTTTCTATTAATTACCTTTGTGGTTCCCATTTTTAAACATGGACCATGCAGCAAGCACTGTGCATTATCTCATTTAATCTTCACAGCAACCCTTAAGTTGGTGTCACTCCAATTTTACAGTTCAGAAAACTGCAGCTCACAAAGGGGATTAGCAGAAATGGTATCAGAAAACTACAAGGGTAACTGACATCTGGTAGAATGTATCCAAAAGAAGAAACTATCTATGCCCTGAAATTCTCTGAAAAACTCTTGGGGGGAGTAGAAGCAACATGGCCATGTCATAATCCTCTGTGCTTCATGCTTCATCCCATTTAGAAGATGTAAATTAATCAACTTCACATCTGGCTTACAAAACTCTCTCACATAATTTATGTATCTCCTAGTGCCCAACAGTCTAACAACCTCCAATAGGACCTGCGTGTTACCCCCTTTTTTTAAATATATTTTTATTGTTGATAGTATTATAGATATCTCCCATCCCACCCCCTCCTGTACTCCCCTCCACCTCCAGGGGTGGGCAAACTTTTTGACTCGAGGGCCACAATGGGTTCTTAAACTGGACCGGAGGGCCGGAACAAAAGCATGGATGGAGTGTTTGTGTGAACTAATACATGTTAACACTGCTGCTGGTGAAGGAGCGGAGGGGAGAGCAAGAGAACCCTCCGCTCTTTCGGCTCCGCGGGCCGGATAGAACAGCCGAACGGGCCGGATCGGCCCGCGGGCCGTAGTTTGCCCACGGCTGAAGCTCCTGCTCACCCCACTCCCAGGGTCTTCACTACCCCACTGCTCGTGTCCATGGGCTACGCATATACCTTCCATTTCTGCTCTCTGAATCAGGATATCCAAAGCTTCCGCGGCTTTCGGGCTCCCCAGGAAGGACAGCGCGTACGTCGTAAGAGCCAGGGTATAATTGTCTGAGATTCCTCTGAGGAACTCAGACTCCAAAAACTTGATAGAGTTTTTCACATCAAGATGAGGCTTGAAAGGAAAAAAATATATATATTTTACCATTCGAAAGAACCCCAAAACTACTTTCAAGCATTTATTCAAAAAATAATTTCAGCGTCCAGGAAGCACCTGACTTTTGACCTAGGCAATGGGAATCAACAATGAGTGTGGACATTCATGGATTTGCCATGTGTTTAAACCATAACACTACTTTTCCCGTTTTTGAAAGTAAATAGGCACCGTGCCTTACAGGAAATAAAAAGTAGAACTTTTTGCCAGGGTTTCTCCCGTTGGATATCATGAATTCAGATTCAAGCATACAATGTAATTAAGGAAAGATACTTCTCATATGTGATCTCAGGTGTTGAAGCTCTGAATTCAGGGGAAAGTTTCTCTCCTGCACACCTAGACCTGGGCTAGGAAAATAGTAGGAGCTTAATCTAGAGAATGGCTGGTTTTGATCATGCGAAATGCAGTCGGCATGAAGCAGTAAAGGCATCAATCACTGAGACAGTTCTGGAGCGAAATTAAGCTCATTAGCATAACTTTCCACGTACACTCATTCTCAACCAGACATCCATGCCCATTTAACACGCTTTTTAGAGTGTGGGTGTGCTTTGTACTAAATGAGCAGACACTGTAATTGCTCCATAATATTTTAGAAATAAAAAAAACCCTTCACAACCTAGATTTAATAAAATGCACTCCCAAATTCTGAAGAATTGTCTGTCCCCTAAGAAATTAACCTTTCCAACAACAAAATAGGAATTGACTTAGCTTACCAACAGCAAGTACAACAACACTTATACTGGAAAGCATTTTTAGAATTCTCCTCGTTACTCTGAGAAAGTGGGTCAATATTTTTATTTTCAGATCTTGGAATGTGGTCACAAATGCAAAGCAAAAGGATGCCCAAATTCATACTTCAAATGTGGTATGAAATACAAAATTCCCTAAGTTTCCAGACACATACTGGACCCATCCAAACCTACCTCTCCTGTGATTCCCCACCCATCATTTATGAAATCAAAGATGAAATACCTGATACTTTCTGTAACTCAGGAGAGAAGTCACAATATAAGCTGTAAGCGTTACTGGACTTTTATTGCCACCTTGAAGCTCACTGTGGATCACTCTTCCTGGTTCCCAAAATTCACCATTGGATTTCTGACGGCCTTTGAGCCATGTATATATTCTGTGTAGCACATTCTGATCAATATCTATGTAATGATCAGCTTCAAGGAAACATCGTAAAACAAAGGCTGACAACCTTGGGGGAAGGGAGTGGAGGGAAGTGACATAAAATACAATGAATAAAGTCCTCCAAATAACGCTGAGCAAGAAAACACCAACAATAGCAACACTTCTTTCCCCATCAGAAGCGTCACCCAAGGGAGACTCCCCGAAGAAGAAACAAAGGGAAGGACACAATAAGGAGGTAACACAAACAACTCCGCGTACCTGGTAGACCTAGTTCCCACTTGAGTGTGGTCAAGAAATTTCAGGTCCACTCACATCATCTCAGGCTTAGAAAGGAATTTAGAAATCATCTAATAAGGACTCATTATTTGATAGATTGAGAATTTGACATTCCAAGAGAGTTAAATAAATTGTCCAAGATTACTCATCTTTGGACTGTTCTGGGTATTTACCAAGGATGAACTTATTACATACTTCTCTCAGCCCTAAAGACATGAATAAAGTATATATAGGTCACAAACTGCCATACTTTTCAGTAGAGAAAATGGATATTTTCTTTCCCATAGGACAGGAGGCAGCAAATTAAAGTCTATGGGCTAAATCTGTTGGGCTAGGTCTGGCCCTTGGGCCAAATACAGCAGTCTGTTTTGGGTGTTGTTGGGTTTTTTTTACCTCTCCCCACTCCATCCTCCACCTAAAAATTTGTTTAAAAGGAAAAAGGGAGGAATGAGAGGAGAGGGAAGAACATGCTGCAGAGACACCATGTGGCCTATATGCCTAACATACTTACTCTCTGAACCTTTACAGAAAAAGCTGGCTGATCCCCGCTACAGAACACTAAGTATTGAGGTGAAAAGAATGTCAAGCAATAAAACACTGAAACCTTTCTATTTTTGGATCTATATCCTGACTCATGCCAAAAGAAAATTTGAACCAGATCTGTTTCATCCTATAAAAGATTTAGTGTGGTAAATATTATTAATATTCAATAATATCCAGTTCCCTTTTACTTTCAGGATACAGAGGAATTCACTTTCTTGCCTCCCTGAAGTGAAACATGACCATGTGACCAGCTTTGATAATGACAAAGTGAAAAGAAATGGTACACCCAGGCTGACGCATCCAATTGCCAGAGCTGCATATTAAAGCCTGAAGCTTCCCGGTGAGGTGAGATGGTGGCAGCTGAAGCATAGACTGCAGTGCCCCCTGCTGGCCCATAATGGAAATGCAGCATGTGAAAGAAAACCTCTGTTGTAAATACTGTAAGCTACTGAGATTTAAGGGGTGGTTACCATAACATGCCCTGCCCAACCTGACTGATACAGTCAGTCTTTTTCTGAGTGAAATACAGAATTGAAGATAGTAAGGAAAAAGCAAGGAGAGAGAGCAATCATCCAAAATCAGCCATGCAGAGATTCCATTCTGGAAGAAACTCCAGATACTCATTACTTAATCCCACACTCATAAAAATAACGTTAAACAAACCACACTGACTGCCTTTACAAAAAATTCATGTTGATCATATAAATTAAAGAAAAAATTATGTCACAATCACCCGGTATTTCTAACTGAATTTTCTTGTCAGCCCTACCATCATCGTGTGGTATTTTTATTTTTTGCTTTTTCCAAAAGAGGACTTATGTCCTATCTTTTCTACACAAAAACACTTGCTTTGTTAGTGTTTTAAAATCACATTTAAAAAGGAGAATCTCTTTTAAAGCCAGGCTATGGGGAAAACAGCCTCAGAGCCTATATATACAACACATCTACCAATTTCATGGCCATCGTGACCTAGTGAGGGCCCATTCCATGACAAGGATTTGCTCTGTTAGCAAGAACACTTACCAAGTGCTCCCAGAAGGGTCATCGTTCCCAAAGGCACTGAAAGAGCCATCTTCCCTTTGATAGAGAAGTTCTCTCTGGTAACCTGAAGACACCAAAATAGATCGTCAATGTAATCAACTTGCAATGACTGGCAGTTTCTAATCATGTTTTCATACCGAGGAAACACGGGTAGAGAATAGGAAAGAAGACGAATTCAAACCAGCAACTAATATAAAATATTTTCCATGGTAAGTCCTGTGGAAAATGTAAAATACCAGCATTTTTTCAGCAGAATGCAAAAAAATAACAACTGTGATATCCCCAAATTAAAGTAAATTCAGAAGAATACTATAACATAGACAATAATTCTAGCCATTCAAAAGCAAGCTAACTGAAGGCAGAGTTTTCTTTAACTCTGCAGTTTCCAGTCCAATGCTTTCAATACTTAGTCACCAAAAATTGCTGGGTAGCTAAGAAAAAAATCTAGAATTTCAAATTACATTTTAAAGCTAAAACAGAAAATAAAAATGCTTTCTAGTTTTAGGCCAGCAACAGAGGGATTTGGAGAAAGGGAGAATTATTAAATAATCAAAGACAATGCCTCTAAAATTTTTTTGCCATGGCCAACTGAGGTAAATCAAAGACCAATTGGTCTGCTCAATTCTAAGTTCTCACTTAAGAAAAAACAACTTGATGGTGGTAATGAAGTCTCACTATAGAAGTAAATTGGGGAGGGGGTTAAGGTTCATGTGTCTGTTTTAATTAAAACAGATGTTTCATATTTGCAAATAAATGGTTGCAAAAAAGAGGCGCATGTTTCATAGCTACCGAGCGAAATCATAGGCCCAAAACTAAAGACCCACCAAACAACCACAACAGACTAACTTGCTAAACATGAAATTAAAATAGCAATAATTTATCATTAAATATCAAGCATGAGCAACAGCCAAAAACATTTCCAACTCCAGGCATTATCAATAATTCTCTAATAACCAAGAATTCTTCCTGGAAATGGCAGGATTCCACCACAGGCAGGGGAGGGCACACACTATGACCTTGCAGCGTCCATGTAGAGCCCAGCAACCATGAACATTTGTAATAAGTTGATCTTAATCCCTAGTGAAGTCCAGTAATAAAAATTTTTACTTTATTAACACCACATTTTAGAAACATCAATAATTATAGTTATTCATATCTGATTAACAAAACATAAGCATTAATATTTTTAAAGTACAGTTAACCTGCTCTTGCCATGTCCCAAATTTTTCTCCATGAGTCTTTCCACAAGAAACCCTAGATCTGAGTAGCTGATTTAAACTACCGTAAGACAAAGCATTCGGAAAACAAGACACTGTCTCATGGTGATCTTTAAGACTTATGGTAAAAGAAATAGAGATACCATGTAAATGATGGCAGAATTTTGCTTGATTTGAAGAAGGGGATATTGGGTTATAATTTATATGTTTAAAACTAAAATATTGTGGCACAGTAATTAAATAGCCAACCTTTATCCAACACTGATTATGTGTCAGGAACTGCTCAAAGCCCTTTCAGGACCCAGCTAATCCTCAGGACAACCCTATGATGTAGATGCCATTAGTATCCCTTTTCAAAGATGATAAAACTGGAACGTGGATACACCATGTGCAAGGTCACACAGCTGGTGGGTATTGAAGATAGGCCTTAGCCAAGATCTCTTTGTGTGCAATTGCTGTTTCCTATTAATTCAGAGACCTCTTTCAATGACTTATGTATGAAAAGTCCTTAGCACAGCACTTTTTCCAGGGCAGGCTCTCAATAAGCAACAGCTATCATTTCAACCGCCCAGTTATTTTTCAAAATTGGTCAATTTGACTACAAAACACTTTATTTTAAATTTTTCATGGCAAACACACTATTAGCAAAGTTAAAAGACAGGTGATGAATTAGAAGAAAATATTTGCAGCCTGTAAGAGAAACAAATGGCTAATATCCCTAATAACAAATTTTATGTATATGTTTATATATAATTACTATATATATATAACACTTTTAAATTTAAAAAGGAAAATTTTTAGATCCCTTATAGGGAAAAAATGAATAAAAGACAAGAACAGACATTTTATTAAAAAAAAACAAAGAAAGATGGACCTTAATATGTGAAAAATATTCATCTTCATAATAAGCAAAATGCAAATTAAAGCTACCCTGAGATACCATTTCTCATCCATCACATTAGCAAAGATTCAAAAGCTTGACCATTCATTCTGTCCGGGAGGCTGTAAGGAGACCAGGGTCCTCATCATTGCTAGAGGGAATTCAAAATGGTACAGCTCCTGTGTAGGAAAACGTCTATACCTTGTAACCCAATAATCCTACTTCTAAGAATCCATCCTAAAGATACACCTCCAACAATATAGACATATTCATACAAAAGTTTATTCGTTGAAGCGTTATTTGTAATTGCAAAAATATTGGAAATGACCTAAATACCCCCAAATTAGACTCTGGTTGAACACAATGTAGTGCATACTCACAATGCAGCTGTGAAAAAAGAACGAGAGCTATTTCTCTGAACTTATGTGTAGTAATTTGCCGGATATATTATGAAGTGAAAAAGGCGAAGTCTAAAATAGCATATATAGCATATAACTTTCTGTGTAAGAAAAAGAGCCAAGAAAACATATGTGCAGATGTTCATTTCTGCAGAGAGAGAGAGAAAGAAACTAGAAACTAATGAAGCAAGTTACCTACAAGGATAGGGAGAAGGGATACAAGAGTTACATATACCTTTGCACATACCTTTTAGAAAAGGTTTGACTTTTGGAAGAATTGTTCTGCATATTCAAAAAATCAAATAAGAATGAAAAAAAGTTAAACTTTTGGGGGGGAAAAAAACACAGCAAAAAACCTCTTCCTTTTTCAGAGCTAGTCAGGGATCACAGAGAAGCAGAATAATGGTCTAATATTCACAAAAGAAATTAGCAAAAGAGTCCAAGACATTCTCCCTCGATTTCCAATTCAAGACTAAATCTACCAGACTGTGAACTCAGACTGGCAGAGGAGAAGGGAGGGGAGGGGAGGAGAGAGAGGAGAGGAGAGGAGAAAGAAGAGGAAAAGAGAAGAGGACAAAGAAAAAGAAAGGTACAGGGCCCTCCATCACTACCGGAGCTGCTCCTGTGAAAGGAAGGACCCACGTGGAGAAGAAGACCATGTGACTCCAAGCCCCAAATCACATCAACAACGGCAGTTCCAAGTCTGAGTTATTGTAAAACCAGTCAGAGAGATGAGCTCATGGAGATGAGATCAGTGCTTATGGAAATTACCCCTCAGGTGGCTGACCTCCAGCAGTCCCCATTAATATCAACAACTAGCACCATTCTTCCACCAGGGGCAGCCAGCCCAGAGGAGGGGGGAGGGGGTGAAGACTGGCGGACAATCTCCTGTTGGGGAGTGCATTTCTGGAGCTGGTTTAGATAAAACAGAAAAGCTAAACCACCAGCCCTGCTCCCAATGGTAAAATAAAGCAGAGAATCAGGACCTAAAGAGAGGAGCTCACATGGCTCTTCTGGTGGGAGTCTCCTGTGATGTGCCCTTCCTCTTCCTAACCCATCTGTGCATCCTTAAAGAGCCCTCGGCTCCTCGTCCTCCAAATCGCCCATCCCAGATGCAGAAATGACATTGTTGGCTCAGCTGTAATGTCTATCAATATGATTCAATGTTTGGTGTAGTCACCTAAGCTGGAGACGTTTCATCATGATAGGTGAGAATGGCAAAAGCATGGTGTTCTCCAGAAGTTTATGAGGAAATAAGAGTACAGCCTTTAAGTTCATAGTTTCATGACTAGTTCTTGAGTTAGAAAGTAATAATACCGTATAACCAGAATTACCAGACACTCTGACAATTAAAATACAGAAGAAGTCCAGAGGTCCACGTGAACTGTTCCTTATTAAGACCAGAAAAGATACATATTGGGCCATGACTTTTCTTTGAAATAGCCACAAATGTAAAATATTTACAATTTTTCATGATAAATATGAAAGCACTGTGCATAGAAACACACAGAAAAGTAACGTTCTAACCATAATTTAATGTGGTTTACCTCAAGTGTCAAAATTGCATACAAAAAATAAAAGGGGTAAAATCAGCTCCCTGTGACTATATCAATCACTTCCTGTGGTTTTAAAAAAAAAAAAAAAAAAAAAAAAAAAAAGCTGGTGAAAATATCCTCTGTACTAAAAGATAAGTAGTCATTATCCACTCCCTTCCTCTCTGCGACATGAAATGGAAGATGAGAACTTCACCAGGTTTTTCAGTAACATCTCCACCATTGCCCCTGGCCATTCTTGTGATGACCAATTGCAGCATCAGACTTCTGAAACCTACTTTTCCCCTGTTTTTATTTCAACAGAGAAAACATAATGTGTTTTCAACTAAGCCCAGTCTGAGTCTCACTTGAAAATCGAGCTTCAGGCACCAGGATTTAAATATTTGAGGAAAACAAGTGTCTTCAATCTCTAATTAACAGATTCGGGTCCTTATCAAAAACAGCTTTCATTTTACGGTTCTATTTTTCTTTTGACAGCAAAAGACACTTCATCCAATGATGCAGCCGTTGTTTTGGATAAAAAACAATGGGTCAGGTTACAGGGCTCTTGGGCCAAGCATGATTTAAGTAAAACAATGCGCTGTTCATAAATGACATTTAAGTAATATAATCATGACTCACGCCAAAGCCACTTTAATTTCGTAAAAAATAAAAACAAGAACGGTATATTTAAAGAACTTTGGCAAATGTGATGGCAAAAGAAAAAACAGAGTCTCTGAAATGAGACGCTGATTTCATAATGAAAATCATTATACCAAGAAGTTTCTGTCCTCCACTTGGAAATGTGATTCAGTTCAGCGTGTGAAATGGTGCATGTAGGGGCGCTCCACTGTACCGACTTCCATCAGCCACTTCACCAGCTCAAAAGGCGAAACACTGAAACCACTGGTCCCGATTCCTAGCTGACGGGAACCTGCCTGCAGTGTTGACACATAACTACTGCATTGTGGGAGAACTTGAGAGATCTTCTAGATCCAGTCTCCACATTAGGATGGTGAACCTAAGGCCCAAAAAAGTCAATATTGATAGTAATGTGTTCATCCATCCTGCATTTAATGAAGTGCCAAGATAGGGCTACAATGGTCCCCACTGCCAGGGAGCTTACCTTCTAGTGCAGGAAACAATTGGATTATAAAAAGAATAAAAATTGCAGGGAGAGGAACTGCGAAAGCATTTCCCCATGTTTGGAGGGTCCACCCATGTCCCTTTCAAACCCTGGTGCTTTCGGACATAAAAAGAATAAAAACTAAAAATAAAAAGGGGGGAATGGGAGATATCTGCAATACTATCAACAATAAAAAATATATTAAAAATAAAAATAAATAAAGCCAGCCGACGTAGCTCAGTGGCTGAGCATTGATGCACGAACCAGGAGGTCACGGTCAGGGCACATGCCCGGGTTGCAGGCTCAATCTCCAGTAGGGGGCAGGCAGGAGGCAGCCGAGCAATGATTCTCATCATTGATGTTTATCTCTCTCTCCCTCTTCCTTCTTCTCTGAAATCAATAAAAATGTATTTAAAATATGTTTTAAAATAAGCAAGATAATTTTAAATAGTGTTATGCAGTGAATAAAATGAAATGGGATAATGTAAGTGAGAATTAATAAATGGTCAGGAAAGGCCACGCGGAGGAAAACACTACATGAGTGAGGCGAAGCAGCCGGCCACAGGAGGATCGGGGGGAAGAGCCTCCCAGAAGGAGAACAAGTTTGAAGGCTCTGAAGCTCCAGGCGGGAGCCAGACGGGGCAGCATCAGACAAGGTGGAAGGTGGAGGCCAGGCCGTTCAATCGGGGCCTTGTAGGATGAGGCCAGGAACCCACTGGAGAATTTTAAGCAAGTCAGTGACATGATTTTAACAATTTCAAAAGGTCCCTTTTATAATATGTGGAGACGGTGAGCACGGAAGCAGAGAATCTATGAGCCCCTGGAGTGGTCCATGGTGGCATATGAATGGGAGAACTAGCCATGGGATGGACAGAGGCGAAGAAGCTCCCATTTGTTTTTAGAGGGAGAATGGACCAGATTTACTTGCGGACTTTAGACCCTAACTCCCTAGCTAGATGCAACTGACTGCTGCTACAATATATCATGTCGTCTTCACGACAGTCTAGTTCCCACATACTTTCCTCTCAGAACCAACAAATTAAATTTTGAATACAAGTCGGAATCTTGTTTTCTCAAGGTTAAATTATGACCATCTCAAATATATTTTACTCGTCTCCTTAAATACAACCATTACTGCAATGTGCATAAGATCTCCTTTGTTTTTAGCCTGGCACACACTATTATACCACGGAAAGCACTTGGAGTTCAAATCCCAGCTCTGCCACTCACTTGCTATAGGACCCTGGGCAAGTTAGCTTTTCTGTGCCTCAGTTTCCTCATCTGTAAAAACAGGAGGATACTACTAATTATGAGCATTAACTGAGATATTAGATGTAAAGTGTTTAGAACACTGCCTGCCACATAGTAAGCACTCAACTAATGGTCGCGGTTGGTATTAGCAAGTGCCAGACACAAAGTATCTGGTGTCTACAAACAGTATGAGCCTCTCAAGGAGTCAGGGTAGAGTCACCACTGGTGTGCCCTTTGTTGAAGGTCAAGCAGGGCCTCCCCAGACAAACATTTCTCTCCTCATCATTTGCTCGACATTTTACTTGCACTGAGAAGGTCCCCACCTGGGACATCACCTGTGTGTATGTCAGACTCTTCACTGAACAGGGAATTCCATGCGCGGAAAGGCCATGACTTCCTCTGTCCCCAGCACTAGAAAGGACTAAATGTTTAATGAATAAGTGAACACTCATTCCTTTATGCAGCTTTAAATTTCATGTCCCTTATTAAAATAAAAACCCCTCCCAAAACCAAACCCTTAACAAACACCTGAGCAGCAATCAGAAAAACAATGAGCTGAAGACTCGCACTCCCAGCACATTTCAGCACCATCTAGTCCAGTGATGGCGAACCTATGACACGCGTGTCAGAGGTGACACGCGAACTCATTTTTTTGGTTGATTTTTCTTTGTTAAATGGCATTTAAATATATAAAATAAATATCAAAAAGATAAGTCTTTGTTTTACTATGGTTGCAAATATCAAAAAATTTCTATATGTGACACGGCACCAGAGTTAAGTTAGAGTTTTTCAAAATGCGGACACGCCGAGCTCAAAAGGTTCGCCATCACTGATCTAGTCCCACGATCACATAGCAAAGACACAATCGGTCTGTTTTGAAAAATGGTCTAGAGTGAACTCTGCCTTAAAAAAATAATAAAAATAAAAGTATGGCCCTAGCTCGTTTGGCTCAGTGGATAGAGCATCAGCCTGCGGACCGAAGGGTCTCAGGTTCAATTCCAGTCAAGGGCACATGCCTGGGTTGCAGGCTTGATCCCTGGTGGGGGACATGCAGGAGGCAGCCAATCAATGATTCTCTCTCATCATTGATGTTTCTATCTCTCTTTCCCTCTCCCTTTCTCTCTGAAATCAATAAAGATATATTTTTAAATAAATAAATAAAATAAAAGTATATTTCGAAAATGCTTACCTTGAAAAGGGACATATGTAATACTTTCAACAATAAAGATTTAAAAATAAAATGAAATGCTTACCTTGTCTCATAAATGAAAGGGCTTTTTCTTTTAAACTCTCCGTCAGTTGTTTCTTTTTAGTCAGGTAATCCAAAACATAAATATTTGGAGCAAAATTTATCATGTTCTGTTCACCACAGCCATAAGGCATCTGAATCAATGAGGCTAAGCCACTGATGGAAGAGCCAAGAATATCTCCTGAAAGCACAAGATGGAAACACATTCAGCAAATACTCCATACCTGCACCTGTTGGCGGCGAACAGACGTCCACATCCAGTGCTCAGAACAGAGTAGAAAATTTACATCAAGTGTTTAGGATGACTGCTCAAATACGTGATAATACAGTGATACTGAACTTGCAGATTACATGACAGATTAGGACACCTTTATCTCAGCTAAAGATATAGGCATACATTAGGCAACAAAATGAGTTTAAAAATAACTGTTGAACAAAAATGTCAAGAATTAACCATAGCCGAAACCGGTTTGGCTCAGTGGATAGAGCGTCGGCCTGCGGACTGAAGGGTCCCGAGTTCGATTCCGGTCAAGGGCATGTGCCTGGATTGCGGGCACATCCCCAGTGGGAGATGTGCAGGAGGCAGCTGATTGATGTTTCTCTCTCATCGATGTTTCTAACTCTCTATCCCTCTCCCTTCCTCTCTGTAAAAAATCAATAATATATATTAAAAAACAAAAAAGAATTAACCATAGCAAACCATCATTCTTCTATAGGAAAGAAATTATTTTTTAAATTAATATTCTTTACATAAATAGAACTTCATTCTGATTTCTTACTAATACACTACAAATACTAGAGAAATAATTTTTTAAAAGATAGAAATTGTAGTATTTTTCAATGTGCTTTATTTGAGTAACAACAAAGTGGAACTAACAAATAGAAGCATTTCCATGACTTTCAGGATCAAAAAGGTTAGAACTACTATTCAAAGATAGTTATAGAAAATTAAACAAAATGTAATTAAAAGACTTCTCTACCCACATTCTAGCACCATGACTCAGGAAAATAAGTAGAAATTCAGAAATACAGAGGTTGAGTTCTAATTCTGCCCCCACTGAGGATGAGCTATATGGAGAAGAATATTCTTCTGTGAAGTTTAGAAACTTATACCATTTCAAGTCCAAATACTTAGTGAAATCCGATCCTTTAAAAAAATGAATCCTAAAAGAGAGGAAGAACTCTTTCATACGAGTAGGCTACAGTCACACTACCATATGATGTCAAACTTCATATGTTAACTCAAATATCTAAATAAAGGTTATATTATTACCACTGCAGGTTCTGTTTCTAATATTCAGAGTGAACATAAACTTAGACTCTCAAAATTCAAAGAGCAAGCTGATATTCAAACATTCTGGGCTACCAAAGTCTTTTTAAAATAAAAACCATATAAAAATAAAACTTGAGCCCTGATCAGTTTTGCTCAGTGGATAGAGCATTGGCCTGCAGACTGGAGGGTCCCAGGTTTGATTCCAGTCAAGGGCATGTACCTTGGTTGCGGGCACATCCCCAGTAGGGGGTGTTCAGGGGTCAGCTGATCGATGTTTCTCTCTCATCGATGTTTCTAACTCTCTATCCCCCTCCCTTCCTCTCTGTAAAAAATCAATAAAATATATTTTAAAAATAAATAAATAAAATAAAACTTGAAAGACCATTCTTTACCTCAAGCTTAAAAAGTAAACTTCAGAGCACTTCAATGACCCTAGATAGATTCATTCCAATGTAAGGGGTGATGATATACATTTAAAATTCAAGGCTCTTGCCCTAGCTGGTTTGGCTCAGTGGATAGAGCATCTGCCTGTGGACAGAAGGGTCCCAAGTTTGATTCTTGGTCAAGGGCACATGCAGGAGGCAGCCAATCAATGATTCTCTGCCATCATTGATGTTTCTCTCTCTCTCTCTCCTTCTCCCTTCCTCTCTGGAATCAATGCAAATATATTTTAAAAATAAAAATAGATAAAATAAATAAAATTCAAAGCTCTTCTCTTTGTGTGCATATGTGGACTGCATCCTCCCAGCATCCCCACACTGCAGGAGATGCCTATGCAGAACTTATTCCCCTAAACAAAGAGTTTATTTAATTCTTTTTAAAGAGTTATATCTGCCCTTGCCAGTTTGGCTCAGTGGATAGAGTGTCAGCCTGGTGACTAAAGGGTCCCAAGTTCAATTCCAGGCAAGGGCATAAGCCTGGGTTGCGGGCTCAATCCCCAGTAGGGGGTATGCAGGAGGCAGCCGATCAATGGTTCTCTCTCATCATTGATATTTCTATCTCTCTCTCCCTCTCTCTTCCTCTCTGAAATCAATAAAAATATTTTTTTAAAAAAGAGTTATATCTAAGGCTCCAAAGAAAGTCCTCTATAAAGGAATTGGTTTCTTGGGGTTATAAAAAAAAAAAGCATTACACCTGCAGATGAGATGTAAAAGAACCTCTGAGAAAGTGCCTAAGGTCCTAACACCTTGAAAACCGAACCATTTTGATGTCATTAATCTAAACGTTTCCTTCAACTTGTTAGAAAGCACAACTATATAAACGAAGTGTTTGTGTGGAAGATCTGCTTAATAGTCAGTACAAAAGTACTTTTCGGGCACCAGCAGGAGATGAGGAGAGGAGGCCTACAGTCAGTGGATAGCTTCTTCCTATAAAGGTGGCTTGTGTCCTGCACAAACAGCTCCCCTAAGCAGTAGCCCTCAAGCTCTGGTGATCAGAATATACCTACCCTAGCCTTAGCCCAAGAGATTCTGACTGAGGAGGCTGGGAGTAGAGCCCAGAGATTTGTGTTTTTACAAAGCGCCATAGAAGATTCTGCTATTTGTCGGGACTGGGAGCCACAGAAGCCAGAAGTTCTGTTCGTAGAAATAGCCTCCCCCTGCAGCCACATTATAATGGGGACTTACTGCTCAAAAGTTATCTGCACATCAGATGTATCAGCATCAGCTGGGAGCTTGTCAGAAATGTGGAATCCCAGGTCCAGCCCAAGCCCACTAAGCCAGAATCTGCCTTTAAGCGAGAACCCCCGGGTGATTCCTATGCACATTGAACACTGAGAAGAACTGGTCTAGCACACATAGCTTGCTAGTCTGCCTTTCTATTGTAATCTTGCTAGCCTTTCTATTTGGTACCAACTGAAAACTTTTTGCAACCTCTTTGCATTCTGACTAAACAAGAAAATGTGGTATATCTACAAAGAGATGAAAACATATATTATCATGTACAAATAAACCAGTGGTGATGATGATACACTCTGTTCTTACCAACCACAGTGATCTGAACTCTTTCACTGCCATTCACTATATTGGGAGGAAAGGAGAAACTCGATACTTTCTGTGTAGTTTTCAGCCTCCTGTTCAAGTCAAACAAGACGGATTGTGAATATAATTTTTCTATTCCTTCTGCCTGTCAAAACAAAAGCAATATAATTAATGTGGTCCCTACTCCTCAGTTTACCAAGAACTGTATGCAAATCATAAGACAAACATTTTCCCTGTTGTGTCTACAGTGTGTGTACCGTTAATGCCTACCATTTCTTGATTCTTGCTTCAAATCTGTTAATAAGTGTTCATTTTCTAGTTTAGGCAAAACATTTCATGGAATGGCAATGGGAATGACAATGCAGAAAATGAAAAGGTGATAAGAAAACCTCTCTGAGGTAGGTTCTATTATTACCCAAGAGAGAAATACCTTATCCAAAGTTATACTTGACAGAGCTGGGATTTGAGCCCAGGGCTGCCTCACCTCAGAGTACAAGTGCTTATCCACTATGCTGAGCTGTGTTTTTGTGCATAATATGTTCTCTAAAAAAAAATCTATAAAATCTCTTCTACTTGTGCTGAGGAATTTCAAAATTCAAAATCTACATGTCCACTTAGCATGATTTAACAGGATCCCATTGTAACACAATTTGTAAATGTAATTGACTGCAAAAGAGACTTGCTTTATAGTCATACTATAAATTTATCTTTTATTTATTTTAATCCTTACCCAAGGAAATGTTTTTCATTGATTGGAGGGAGGGAGGGAGAGAGAGAGAGAAACATCAATGTGAGAGAGAAACATTGATGAGTGAAAGAGAAACATTGATGTGAGGGAGACATATGCTTGGACCAGGAATCAAAACCGAAACCTGGGTATGTGCCCTGACTCAGCAGAGTGGATAAGCACTTGTGCTCTGAGGTGAGGCAGCCCTGGTCTCAAATGCCAGCTCTGTCAAGTGAGACTTTGGATAAGCATTTAATTTCTCTCTTGGGTAATAATAGAACCTGCCTCAGAGAGGTTTTCTTATCACCTTTTCATTTTCTGCTTTGTCATTTCCATTACCATCCCATGAAATGTTTTGCCTAAACCCAAGACCCCTTGGTGAACTGGACAACACTCTAACCAACTGAGCCACACTGGCCAGGGCATTCATACTCTAAATTAAAGAGGATCCCTAGCCAATTTGGCTCAATGGATAGGATGTCGGCATGTGGACTGAAGGATGACAGGTTTGATTCCTTCAAGGGTATATACCTCGGTTGCAGGCTCGATCCCAAGCCCTGGCAGGGACACGTGTGGGAGGCAACCCATCAATGTGTCTCTCTCTCATTGATGTTTCTCTCCCTCTGTATCTCCCCCTCCCCTTCCACTGTCTCTAAAAATCAATGAAAAAATATCCTCTGGTGAAGATTAACAAAAAATAAAATAAAATAATAAATTAAAATAAATTAATATAATATAGTATAATATAATAATATAATATAAATTTAAAGAGGAAACTGGCAAGTACTTCCAAAGTATAATATATTTTTACAAATAGATGGGAAAAAATCATTAGGCATTACCAGAAGGATAGAGGAGGTGAGCTTGCAGGTCTTGCCAACAAATCTAAACAAGAAAAATCATCTCCTGTTTCCTTTTCAACTACATATTTCCATTTCATTTATTTGAAACTCCAACCACTTACCTTCACTAAAATCCTCTGGGTGATAGCATCAGAAGCAGCAGGTGAAATAGCTTTGATTGTGATGTAAATTTCCCCCAGATGTGTTGGTTTGACTGGGAAAATAACAGTCATCCCATCCTCACTAGGGACCAGAATGATCTGCATGTGCCCTGTGTCATTGACTTCATTGGAAGCCATTAGAATTTCAAATTTGTCACTTTCCTCAATGATCACCTTAACCTGGAAGAAAAAAATATTATCAAAGATTTTGTATAATAAATGCTCCTCTGTAAAGTGTTAGCATTATTACTATTTTAAGTCCTATTAATCTGTGAGGCCCAAGACTAGAGAAAGATGAGATAGATTCAGTCAAGAAGAGGATGAAAGGGTACCATGGAAAACTTCATTGCTTTCTTATGCTTTCCCATCTACTTCAATATATGTGTGGAAGGGCGTTCTTCAGAACATGAATATCTCTTGTTATCTGATGCCTCTGAGTGATAAGGAGGTGCCCGGAAAGGTTATTCGTATCATGGTATTGCCACCAGCCTGGTTTAACCATCATTCTGGGACACTGGTCTTACTAGAAAAACCTGAGACCAAAGGATGAAATGTTGTGACATTCATTGAGAGTCTCTGCTAAAATTAGTCCAAGGAAAGTCTGACCCAGACATTAGCTCTGAAGCATATACTGGTGGTCAACTTTGTAACGTACGCCAAAGTTGCAGTCCCACCAAAACGAGCATTTCTCTAGACCTTGCATATTATGACTTGTTTTCCCATTTATTTTCTCAAAATATTTTCTGTAAAGACAGTAATTGTTATTCCCATTTCACAGATGAGACTACAACTAAGTTATTTGCTGGTAAGTGGTAGAGTGGGATGCTGAATCCCAGCCTTGGACTCCAGAGCTTAGGAGTCCATGCTGATTAGATGAAAAACCAAATTTTTATAATAAGAAACAATTTGCCTGGCCAGCATGGCTCAGTGGTTGAGCGTCAACCTAAGAACCAGGAGGTCACAGTTCGCTTCCCGGTCAGGGCACATGCCCAGGTTGTGGGCTCAATCCCCAGTGTGGGGCTTGTATGAGGCAGTCAATCAATGGTTCTCATCATTGATGTTTCTATCTCTCTCTCCCTCTCCTTTCCTCTCTGATATCAATAAAAATATATTTTCAAAATTAATAAAATAAGAAACAATTTACTCTATGGACATAGTGCTTAAAGCGATGACAGCATTTTCATGAAGTACAGCTAATAAGGTTAATTAATATCCCTACTTACTCTGGGTGGGGGGAAACAACCAATCATTTGGTTAACATTCCTATGGACACAACACAAACAGTGAGCCTAATTCTGCCTTCCAGGGAACTGACTCGCTGAGGAGACACAAGGCACATGGCTCAAAACACCAAGCCTTGGAAACAGACGCCCTGTCTAAATGTGAGGACAACACACGGAACAGAATGGTGAGGAAAGGCATCTTAGTTTCAAGCCAGGTCTTGAATGGAATAAATTCTTGCCAACCACACTGGGCAAAGAATGGCAGTAACGAGCGGCAACACATTCTAGATGTGAGTCAGACTAGGAAAAAACTGCAGACGGCAAGAAAGAGGAAGACCTGCCCCAGAAACAATAGGAAAGTTATGTGGCTAAACTGGGGGAAATGTGCTGGAAAGGACAGAGGAGAGAGAGAGTGCTTATACATGTGAATAATATCCCTAGACGTTAATAAGCAGAAGAAATCGCTGCCCAAGGATGTTTATGCTCATTCCTCCAGAATGTATAAAAGGCTTAGATACCCAGAGCCTAAACACTAACCAAACCAGGTCCTGCACGTTTTCTCCATTTCTTCCTGTAGTATAAGTGGTGAACAAAATCTTTATACATTACCTCAGTGTCAACTTTCAAATAATTGAATATGGTTATTTCCAAAGCAAATTCTTCACCTCTGATCACAGAGTTGGGAAGATTCGGAGAAATGAAAAATGGCTGAAAGACTTCTAGCTGGAAAAAACACAATGAATACATATTTTGTTCAAATCAAAATGTTTCATGTTTTATTGAATTAAAAGCAAATCTCACAAAATCTATGAAGCTTAACTTCACATAGAAATGTCCACTTGCCTATCAACATACAGCAAATGGCAACTCATCACAAATGAATATTTATGTTAGTTAACACTAGACTTTATTAAGGGCCACTAGAAACCAGGTACTTTACCCAAATTAATTCATTTAATCATTACAACCTTAAGAGGCAGTGTTATCCTCATATTTCACAGAGATTAAATAGGAAGCTCAGAGACCCTGTAACTAGTATAAGATCACATTGCCAGTAGGTGAAGGAGCCAGAACTGGATCCCAGCATGTGTGACGTCAAAGTCTGCTCCTATGTTATACTGACTCCACCATTCTGCATTAAAAGCCACCAACCAAATCAAAGACTGTTTCAGACTCATGTGCAAAGTCTAAATAATGGTCTGCTTACTACTTTTAGCCTACATATGCAGACACCTGTACTTCCTTGTTGGTGCCTCAACTCCGATACTGTTGGCCAAGTCCTGCAGGAGAAACTGAACCTTCCCCTACCTCTAATGATAAACCTCAATTCCTTGAAGCCAATGGTTCCCACTGGCATCACGAATTCCCTCTGGCGGTTTATTTGGGCATCTGTGGAAGTGTCTTAGGTTGCCACAACATTTGAAGGAACTATTGGCACTTAGCGGGTGAAGGTCTGTAAGACTCAGGAGTCCCAAACAACGAAAAATTGTCCCATATCCCTCATGAGTCTTAAATGTCTTTTCAGGCATCCAGGTAGACAAAGTACCTGCTTATAAGAACCGGAACTTACAACGTAATTCCCACATAATATAATGTAAACCCAAAGCATTTTTCAGCACACACTGAATTTCTCATGAATACAACTATTTTGGAAATCAAAAGAAGACTTTGTTTGTAATGTTACTAAAAGTTGTTCACGGTTTCAGAAATTTATATCACCACAGACAGCTAAAACAATACAAGTATGTCAACTGCATCTCTGTGCATGGTGTAAATATTTAAATATGTTATGATATCTTCAAATGCAGCTATGCCTGCTCATATATATCCTGAAATATGTATTATTTTATTATACATTACCATCCTTTTATTTCTGCTTAATATTTCACTTAGTGTATCATACTGATTTTTAATTGAATATGTAGGTATTGTATATGTTCTATGAATTTCATTTTTTTTGGTAGAGAGACAAAACAAAATATCTGTTACATAAAGGGCTTCAGGTATGACCAAGGATAGTTATTATATTCCTCTTACCAGTGACTGATTTAGGAAGTGACAGGTGATGCAATTAAACCCAGGAGATGTGAAGGAATGTCTGCTTGGGGACATTTTGAGAAGTTCTGTTTGTCCTTGAAAGAGGGACACACAGAAATATTCTCTGTCTTCTGACCTTTGGAAGTGGTTGAATCTGGTAAATAATAAACTTTCTGTCCAAATCTTAATATGGGCCCAGCACATTTAGTAGCTTAATACAACTCACATTCTAAAATATAAAACAGATGAAACACACACACACACACACACACACGAACAAAAAAAAAACACAAAAAAAACACCTAGGAATCTCTAAACCGTGATCAACATCAAAAGCAATCTTTTTTTAATCTATTGAGGAGTTGACACTTTCTTCACTTCATGACATGGTAGCATTTATAAGAAGCACTTTAATATGCTACCTCCGCTGGAGTAGTTGTTAGTCCAAAACCCAACTCCTCAGAGACCACAAAACCAGTAGCTATCCAAGAAGTGATAGAATCAGGTACAGTAACTTCAAATTCTTGGTAAGTCCTGGAACTGAAGTCAAGATAAATATAAAAATTACAAAACCAAGAACTGATACATTTCAAAATAAGTCAACATAACCTAAAACCATTTTTGGAAGAATATTAATTTTCCAAAACATTTACATATCTAAAATTTTTTAAGACTTATACATAAAACAACAAGGAATAGGCCATAATAAGATCATACTGATCCATAGTTAAATAAAAGCTTGCTACAGTGTTTATATCTTAAGGATGAACATTATTTTCATGAATTTTGTATATATAATAAATATATTTTTTCAAATAACTTTAATTTCATCTTTCAATTTGCATAAAAGTTTCTCTCTATATCCCAATCAATGCTACTATTTGCTGGGTATTTTTTAGGTTTGACTTGTGTCTTATTTCAAGTTTCCGTAAATAGGAAACTATAAAATACGTATAGATTTCATGATTTACCTGCTCGGTCATCAGACAGGCAGCACAGGGTTTGTCACCTAAGTGAATTCCTTACACCACCCACACCCCTTTCCCTGTGGCTCAGGGGAATGTATTATGAGGAGCCACAAAGTAGAGGGAGTAACCATGAGTGCTCCCCACCCCAAGGCAACAAATATACTCAGCAATTTTTTTATAATGAACCAAAAGACTTCAAAGAAGTTAAAAAGCACCCTTCATTAGTGATGACTGCCACAATTCACATGTGGCTTTACTAAATACTATATTTAGATGCAGTCAACATCACTTTGAAATAAAAACCTCTTGGTCTATTTAGTTCTTAATCACACTATGTTTGTACTTAAACAACAAAAAGAGGGCAAAACTTCTTTAAAACTAACACTAAACAAAATATATATGGACAAACAACTTTTTTACCCCGTGTTGATGTCTAGCCAAATCCAAGTCTCTGGAAAATGTTTTCTGACATGTGGATTCTCAACTGAAGAAAAGTCATAGGAATCTCCAAAGTTTCCATCATTTTCCTCCATGTACTCCACATCAAGTGATAGACTGTCATCTAAAAATAAACATTGGCAACTATTAGGAAAATTGTCACTCTTCTAGACAATGATTATAAACAATCCACAGAATCACAGCACCTTTCAGCTGAATGGGACTTTAGAGTTTATCTTGTCCAATCCTCTCATTTTGCAGATGAGCAATATGAGAAATTAAGTGACTTACCCAAGACCAAGTGGCCAGTTACATCCAAGACAGAAATAAAAATAAAAAAAACCTTTCCTGCCCCTATGGCCAATACCCCAAAAACTACTTACAGTTCCGTTGCTAAAGATTCAGTTAAATCACATTTTTAAAGCTACCTCCTTTCTTGCTATTCTCCTCTTTTTAGCTCTCTAATGCTGATCACCATTGCCTACACTGGCCATAAGATGCCACTAACTTTATTCTAATTTTAAAAACCATATTGCCATACAGACTCTGGATCACCTATCTCTATTTTTGCAACTCATCTATAAGTCTAAAATTCTTTCAAAATAAAATGTAAAAAAAGTATACTATAATAGGTACCAAGGATACAAAGATGAATGTAATGAGCTCCACTCTATGGAGGAGGTAGACAAATAGAAAACTGTAGCAAACAAGAATAGTTGATTTTACACAGAATCTGGATCATGAAAAAAAGTATGACTATGGGGGAAATTCGATTTTACATTGTTTTGGGCATTCCATTTTCCTTCCGTCTCCAAATAAAGAGTATCCCATGGGGGAAGCGGGAGTAAACTAAGTACAAAGGCATGTCCAGAATATGACAATTAGTACTAGGTAAAAGTGTCATACAATGAGGGGGAAAAAGAATGGCTGGGTCCATATTTTAAAATATCAAATACCCCATGCTAAAGGGTTTGCACATAATCCTTTAAGCCAGTGGTCGGCAAACTGCTACTCACAAGCCACATGCGGCTCTTTGGCCCCTTGAGTGTGGCTCTTCCTAAGCCTTCGGAGTACCCTAATTAAGTTAATAACAATGTACCTACCTATATAGTTTAAGTTTAAAAAATTTGGCTCTCTGCCGAAACCGGTTTGGCTCAGTGGATAGAGCGTCGGCCTGTGGACTGAAAGGTCCCAGGTTCGATTCCGGTCAAGGGCATGTACCTGGGTTGCGGGCATATCCCCAGTGGGAGATGTGCAGGAGGCAGCTGATCGATGTTTCCCTCTCATCGATGTTTCTAACTTTCTATCCCTCTCCCTTCCTCTCTGTAAAATATCAATAAAATATATTTTTAAAAAAAAATTTGGCTCTCAAAAGAAATTTCAATCGTTGTACTGTTGATATTTGGCTCTGTTGACTAATGAGTTTGCAGACCACTGCTTTAAGCAATGATGACCTATTGAAGGTTTTAAATGAATTAGAACCATGCTCGAGCCCATGTTTTATAGGCTAACTCTACCCTCAGTGTAAACCATGGTTTAGAGCTGGGGGAACATGGAGGTGGGCAAACTGTTAGGTAGGAAGCTACAGCCATGGTCAAGGAGGCACTGCTAGGAGCCTGAAACCAAAGAGAGGAGAGGGAGGATAACGTCAATAATTCTGTTTTATCTCTTGCACCGCATGATTGGATGAGCTCTGTGTGTGCCCAAGGCACCCTGCACTTCCCCCATCAGCACACTCTCCTACCTATATGTTGCTTTGCCCCACTAGACCAAGTTGGAAGCTCCATTGCCTTGCACATGTTAAGCATGCAATTAATATCATCACTATCCTTTGAATAATGAATGAACAAACTGGATTTGAGGGATAATATAATAGGTAATTGCAGACTTAGAAGAGTCAAACAAGCATTAAACACTTATATGCTTTTGAATTTAACCTCACAACAAACCCTGTAATACAAGTAATATTATTAGTCCTATACTTCAGGGAGAAAACTGAGGCTTAGAGAACCTAATTGATTTTCTCAGTCATAAGGTCAGAATTCAAAGCCAGAAGTATTTGGTGGGAAATTCCTTTCTTAACCACTATGCTTGTCCACGTCTGATGGGAAGAGAGGGTGAGTTCTGAGGTTTTTATTTGGACATCTGAGTAAATAATGATTTCATTAACAGAGATATGAAATCATATCAATTCAAGGAACCAATCAAAACATATTAAGGAACAGTGAGGTTGTAAGAAGAGACAAATCATAAATTTGGTTTGTGATATATTGGATTTAAGGTATTTGTGGGGCATCAGAGGGGTGCATAAACAGAGGGGTAAGACAAACAGTTGAGTTGTTCCAAAGTTGACTTTAAGGAGGACAATGTCATGGAAGGGTCTGGGGAAGTATTCTACCAAATTGAGTCACCATGTACTGGTAGTCCAGGCCAGCAATGGGAGGAAAACAGAGGCAGAGGAGCCAATAACTCAGAGTAACAAGAAGACCAACTAGGACATTTAATAGATTTTTAGGGGATTGAGGGAATATATAAGGCAGAAGGATAGGCATTTGAAATGTTAGGAGTAGAGCCATGTTCAGGTGATAATATGACCTTGGGTGACTATTATTTCCACAATGGTGATCACAAGACAGGACACATTAGATGGATTGACCACATGGACATTCAAATCTCTCAGGATGACAACAGGAGTAAGACTTTGAATCTTTTGTGAGAGCATCGAGGTAGAAAACGGGAATGGAAAAGTTGTTGACCTGAATTTTGATTAAAGGAGTTATAATTAAAACTTTATGAGCTTCAAATAACAAGGAGCTCTTAAGTGAAGATTGTTGAACAGTGGGTCTTAAAGTAACTAAGAAAAGATAGCTGAAAAAATACCTTGTGTACCTACTGATCCTGATCCCAAGGAGAGAGAGATAAATAACTGCTCATTTGAGAAGGTTTCTCATGATACAATACACTAGTAAGAGTATCAGGTCTCTTTTGTTACTATAAAAAGGTAGCAGAAGGTTCTCAGAAAAAGGTAAAGGATACAGGAAGTATTACTAACAAAGGTGAGTATTACAGTGGGCAACAGGAATTGATAAGATGAACAAAGATGGGTAAAAGCTGAGACTGACAAAGAGTGAATGAAAAAAGATATGATTGCTTGGAAGGCTGTCTAGGATAAATAATTATATGACGGGAGCTAAATGTTCCATATGTCTTTAATGTCATAATGACTCCCAAAATCTTTAAGACTATAAAATTTTCCTTTTAGTTTCAGGAAAGAGGCTCAGGTATGTAGCAAGAATGCCAAAGAGCTTGGTGTGGAGAAACTCAGAACATCTGACAGAAATAGGAATTTAGGGATAGAAACTGTGACAGTTCTGAAGCCTTTCAAGATGATATTAGTATAACTCGAAAGAAAACAGAACAAGTTCTAGAATTATTTATTCTCATTTCCTCAGTCAAAACATTTTATGATTTCTTCCTAAAAGTACACTTATTACTAGCTGAGTGACCAACTGTATGCAGCAGTCTAGGGAACTAGATGTGACCCCACCAGGAAGAACTCAGAATTATGTGATGATGACTGTGTGTGTGTGCACACATGCTTGTGTGTGTGTGTGTGTGCATTTGTGTGTGCACACCAATATACTTTACTAGAGGCCCAATGCACAAAATTCGTGCAAGAGTAGGTCTTCCTTCTCCCAGCTGCCGGCACTGGCTTCCCTCTGGCACCCAGGACTTGGGCTTCCCTCTAGCTGCCGGCAGGCACCAAGGACCCAGGCTTCCCTCACAACCCTGGCTTTATCTGGAAGGATGTCCAGAAGGACGTCCGGTCTAATTAGCATATTATACTTTTATTATTATAGGTGGTGAACATTCTAGGTGGACATCAAAAAGCTAGAGAACAAAATGTTTCAAAAACATATTGCTCTTTTTATCTAATTCCAAAATAACATCACAGTTTGCAATACAAATTGGAAGCATAGGATCTTCCAATATGTCCAAAAATGTCATCACCTGAAAGAATTACAGAGAGCAAATGGAAAGCATTAATTTCAGAGAAGCCCAGTTGAACATTCCATGTCATGCCCAGATGTACTCTTAAATACATTAAACTCCAAACATTTTAGGATAAGAGACCGAAAATAAATATCACAATATCCATGTTCAATATAAATAATGTTAAATAGCTGAGATGAAAGACTTAAATACTTGAAGATCACTTTACCAGGTTTTACTTACAAACACCATCAATGTAATCCTTCACAAGGCTGGCATCCGTCAATACCCAGAGGCCACATTCCTAGAAAGAATAATTAAAATTTTCTCTTAAAAGGTTAATGCTATCTAAATTGTCACAGCACTCTCCCTCATTTTTGCTCCTTTTTTTTATGCAGAATGTTAAAGTCATTTTTTTCACTCTTGCTCATTTTTGAGTGTTTAGATATGTACATGGGAATACATTCTCATTCTCTCTCTCCTCTCTCTCCTTCTCTCTCTCTCATATACAGACAGATACACACACACACACACACACACACACACACACACACGCATAACAAGTCAAGGAAAGTGATACAAAGGAAAAAAGTATTTGTTTAATGACAATTCCTTTAATTTCTCTAATAGTGAATTTTTCCATTTGCTTTTAAAACTGGAAGGATGATTGTCTTTCCACTTCAACTTACACTTATATAACACTCTGCACTTCAGCAATGCATTTAATAAAATATTAACACTTCATCAATTCAAATCATTAATTCTAAAAGTAATTGCAAGAGTAAAAATATTAATCTCTTTTCAAATAAACATACCTGAAAGACTGCAAAAGAATTCACAAACATGCCTAAATAATATCCCATGTTATAAAGTCCCAACTCCTGGACCACCTAAGGAGAAGATAAAATATATGGAATGGATCAATTCATACCAACCTGTTCTGTGCTGGGCAATATTTCTTATATATACTAGTAATTTAGATAAGACACAGCCCACATACTTATCAAATTTGAAAATGACACAAATGGAGAAATAATGAGTATGTAGATGTCTTGCTTATGATTCATTCAGTCAAAATTACATTTCTTATTTAAATTTGTTTTTACTCTGTTTAGCAATCAAGAGTTCCTAAGAATTATGGACTTGAGTTTTGCCCAAGAGGAATTGAAATGTCTACTGGATGACAAGACCAACACATAGAAGTCAGCATTAAAATGACCAATATGTTTGGCAGAGATAAGCAAAATTCAATGGTTAAACTAAGTTCTGCAAAATATCAGTTAAATTTTTTAAAAATAATACAAAGAGAGAATTCACAAATGATGAAATACAAATTATTAATAAGCAGAAAACATAGTCAACTTCATTGATAATCAAATCAATGCAAATTACAACATCTATGAGATAGTTTTTGCAGAGATATTTGCATGTATCACATTTGCAATGTTAATTTTTAAGAGCAGTATTCATTGTTAGCAAGAGTGAGTAAAATTGGCAGTTTCTAAAATAGTTAAACACAGAATTAGACTATGGCCTGGCAATTACACTCCTATGTATATACCCAAAAGAACTGAAAACAGAGATTCAAAGAGATCCTTGTATGCCAATGTTCATTGCAGCATTTAGTTACAATAGCCAAAAGGTGCAAACAACCTAAGCATCCATCAACAGAAGAATACATGAACAAGATGTGTTATATGCATACAACAGAATATTATTCAGCCGACAAAACATAGTTTTGGATACAAGCTACAATATGGAGGAACCTTGAAGACATTATGTTAAGTGAAATAAGGTAGACTGAAAAGGACAAATATTAAATGACTAAGTGGCCCGGTACACGAATTTGTGCACATTGAAAGGAAATTAATTAGAAGAAATATTTTAATATCGCTATTCACCCTTTCTCAATAATAGACATGTCAACCAAATTCACAATTGACAATGACAGATCAAAACACATGCATGCGATTGGAGCCAGCAAGACCTAGCATGTGCAAGTCAACTTAGCAATAGATAGATAGATAGATAGATAGATAGATAGATAGATAGATAGATATAAACTTGCTTAATTAAACTTGATTTCTGATTTAGCTAAACTTTTCCAGCCCAGTGAAGCACCCCAACATCTCTTTCAGGTAATTGCCAGCAACACAGCAGTAAATATCGACATGAAGCAGATTATTATTGTAGATCATGCATGGAGAACAAAGTGTAAAATATTTAACTATAGCAATGTTTGACTATATTCTGCACAGTGAGAAAACCTGAAGTCATTTTCAAGGTCCACTATTCCTTACTTCTTTTCAGTTGGGTCAAGTTTCTAAACTTTCTAAATCTCCATTCTCTGGCTAATGAAAAGAAAATAGGATTCCCCCGAGTCTCCTATCCCTACTCCAGGACTTCTATGAGGATCAAATGAGATGAGGCACAGGAAAATGCTTCACAGACACTTGGTTACAGTGTAAAATGTTTGCACCTGGCTATAAAGCAAGTCTTGTTCCTGGGCTGAAGAAACTCCAAAGATAGCTAGTCACTAGGGAGAGGAAGCCGGGTGTTGTTATGTGACATCATTACCCGGCGCCCACAGACACCGTTTCCAGGCTGGGCTGGGCTGTGGGCCACATTTTGTGCCATGGCAGTGTCAGCTGCGATTTGGTGGGCTGTTGCTCCAGAGTGGTGGTGGGGCCTGTGTCCCATTTGGGGGAAGCTGAATGTTGCTTTGTTGGCGCCAAGTCCACGCTGCCATTTCTCTATAAATGGCGAGCGCCCGTCACTGCAGCTCCTGCATTGAGTATCTGACCCGTAGTGGTCAGTGCACGTCATAGTGACCACTCAATGGGTGGAGGGACACTTAGCATATTGGCCTTTTATATATATAGATGCCACTTATATGAAATAGCTGAAATAGGCAAATTCATAAAGACGGAAGTAATTAGAGGTTTCCAAGGGCTGGAGGAAGGGAGGAATGGGGAATTATTCCTCAGTGATTACAGAGTCTCTGTTTGGAGTGATGAAATGTTTTGGAAAAATACTGGTGGTAGTTGTACAGCATTATGAATGTAAATGAATGAATGAATTGTACTTTTAAAAATTGTACTTATATTATATATATATATATATGTATATATATATATATATTACTACAATAAAAGAGTTAAAATATTATATACCCTTTTAGTAACTATTTTGATACATCTCCCTTGCTTACATTAGCATTAACCAGACAAATTAACACAAAGGCAGGAATAAAAATCATAAAAGATTACAAGTAGAAGTTCAAAAAACCAAACCAAGTTTAAAGTTAAACACCCATAACCAATGTTTCTGCTATGCTAACAACAACCACTATCGCATCCATGGTAAACAAACAGGGTGCTAGACTAGGCACCAAGAAGACAAAAACCAAATGAGAAAACAAAATGTCATATTACCTCAACAAGCTGGCAAATAGAGTTATTAGCCCAATACAGACATTGGAGACAGAGCCAGACATAATGGAGAGAAAAAGGTTTCAGTGCCACAGAACACAAAGGCATGCAAGATCACCTTCTGGTGACACACAGGCGTGAACTGATGCAATTTCCTAGGAAACAGCATCTAACTCATATAGATATCCCTCTTTCCTCACTGACTCAATAAAAAGACATTGCCAAGCTGCAGCAAAGGCTAACGAAGGAAAGGATGGTGTCTGAAAATTATTCCTGAAGGATCTCTTACACTTACTATTCCTCAACAGACTTATCAGAGTAGTTGCCAAATCAACTAGCCATTCAAAGAGTATAACTTCCATAAAAGACATCCAACCTGACAACACAGCACATGAAGCAGAACACTGGAAAAGCCAGCTCAAGATTTAAAATAAACCCAGTAAATAATGAGACAGGGAAAATATTATCAATAAAAAACAAGAACAAAAGATAACCAAAGGAAAATAATAGATATTAAAAATGTAATAGTTGACATAACAAACCCAATGTAAGAGATCAAAGTAGGAGACAGCTGATGAATGATCAGTGAGCTGAAAAGTCAAATGAGGAATTCTCCCAAAGAAATACAGAAAAGACAAAGAGATGAAAAACGTAAAAAGAAAAAGCTAAGAGATGCGAAGGAATAGAAGTGGCAATCTCTAAATAATGAGAGTCCTGGAAAAGAGAAAAATTAAAATGGAGAAGAGGAAATATATGAAGAAATAATTGGTGTCAGTTTCCAGAACTAAAAAATTTAAAAAGCAATCAATAATAACACAGAACTAAAATTATATACAATACCAACATGATCTGGGCAGAAGTGGGGAAGTTAAAATCTAATGAGGAGAGACAAAAAGAATGTACAAGAATATTATGAGAGTGCACTAAAATGATTGTCTTGTTAGATGAAGACACAAATGTTGATAATCTTAAGAAATCAGTAAGGATATTAATATAAGTATAGTTCGTGAGTTAAGGGCATCTATCATAGGAATAAAAATAGAATGTATAACTTGCAAAATCAGCAGAACAAAATTTGATCTATCCCATGAAAAGAAGAAAACAGAAACAAAAAAGAGTAGTATAAATTTTAAAATATAAAATAACAACTATAGTTGCAAATGAGGGGGGAGGGTGGGTGGGAGGAAGGTAATCAACCAAGGACCTTGTATGCATATATGCATGGCCCATGGACACAGACAATAGGGCACTGAGATCCTAAGGTAGGGGAGGAAGGGAGGAGGCAGGCTGGAGGAAAATGGGGGGAGTAGACATATGTAATACTTTCAACAATAAAGAATTATTTTTAAAAATTAAATATACAAATAAAATAAAAAAGCAGAAATTTTCTAATTAGAACAAGAAATACCACAAGAAATGTGTAAGTGGGTTAAATAAGCTTATCCTATATAATAAAAGCCTAATATGCTAAGTGTCCAGTCATCCAGTGACCGGTCAACTGTTCAACCAATCAAAGTGTAATATGCTAATGATATGCTAAGACCACTCAACCGCTCGTTATGACATGCACTGTCCACCAGGGGGTAGACAGTCAACTGGTTGAACAGTTGCTATGATATGCACTGACCACAAGGGGGCAGACGCTCCGACCAGTAGGTTAGCTTACTGCTGGGATCCGGCTGATCAGGACTAAGGGAGATGGGCCAGACATGCTCTGGAGCCCCCTGCGGTCCTTCCCACAATCCCTCCCCAGCTGGCCAACCTTTTGTGTCCCTCTCTAGCCGGCCCCAGTCAGGACTGGGCAAGACGGGGCCAGACACACTCTGGAGCCCTCCTGTAGTCCCTCCCCGGCCCCAGTCATGCACTGGTGGGGTCCCTCAGCCTGGCCTGCGCCCTCTCATAATCCGGGACCCCTCAGGGTATGTCGGAGAGCCAGTTTTGGCCCAATCCCGCAGGCCACCCCGAAGGACCCCACCCATGCACGAATTCGTGCACCAGGCCTCTAGTTAAAAGATATTGACTATCAGATTATATTAAAAAAACAAGTGCAAGTTATAGTTAAGTGCTAGCTGTACAATATACTTAAAACCAAAACTCACAAAAGGTTTAAAATAAAATGATAGGGCCCTAGCTGGTTTGGCTCAGTGAATAGAGCGTCAGCCTGTGGACTGATTCTATTCAAGGGCACATGCCTGGGTTGTGGACTCGATCCCCAATAGGGAGCAAGCAGGAGGCAGCTGATCAATAGTTCTTTCTTATCATTGATGTTTCTATCTCTTTCTCCCTCTCCCTTCCTCTCTGAAATCAATAAAAATACATTTAAAAATTAATTAATTAATTAATTAGTTAAATGATGGGAAAACACACCAGGCAGGTATAAACCTAAAGAAAGCTGAAGTAGCAATTTTAGTTATGGCAATATTTAATGTAAATATAAAAAGAGACAGAGAGACAGTGGTAGAGACAGGAAACACAGAGAGCATGAGCACCAGATAAAAGTGTGTGTGTTTGCGTGTGTGCGCACATGTGCACACATATAGGGATGAAAAAATAAAAATATTTAAGATGTTTATAAAGTTGTAAAATGATAGCTATTACTATATTCAGTTAAATCAATTGCAAGATGCTATATACTTTTTAGAATACTGTGAATTTTAGAAAAGGCAAGAGAAAAATATGACCAATAGGCTATAAATGAGTTGTGTTTGTTTTTTAAAGGATTGAAAAAAATTAGCTGTATAGACCGAAAAAAAGTATAATTTTCCTCAAGAGTATTAATTTTACAATAAGATGACCAAATTAGTATAAGCATATATATCTTTCTTCCTGCCATTGTTAATCACTGTACATAATCAACTAACAGGCATAAGTTATACAATCTAGATTTCAACTGGCACTCGTACACAAGGATAAATCAAGAACTTACAAATAAAACTGAAAGGACTAATAAATAGGGTATTCGTTTGTGTAACACTAGACATTCACATACTTCTTGCTTTGTAAATTTTCTGAAGTTTCACATGATTTCACTCCCTCAATACACTGCAAATTTCTGATTCAATGTGGACTGTAATCGTTTCTAACCATATGTGTAGCCAAATAGAAGGTATTTCAAAACTATCAAAAGCTCTCTGATCCGATGTCACCCAGAATTGGGCAAGTCAATTTCCCAGTACTGCCTCAAGAGTCTTAAATTAAAATATAGTATGAAAATGAGGGAAAACTGCAGGTGGCATTTCTCGTGTAAGACAGCAACGACAATGGACCACATAAGCCTCTTCCCAACATAATGACTGAAATGCAGATCCTAGTTCATTTGGAAGCTTTCCTGGGTATTAACTTCACCTGAAGAGGAACTAATGCAATTTCTTTTAGATATCTGAAGTCCTGAAATAGTTTCTCTTTCACGTGTATTTTTGGAAGGAGACACAGCTAAACTCACATTTTCCATTGTAATATCATTTGAGGCGTTCATCAGGTACACACTTTTGTCAACAGCTACAATCCCCACTAGCGAGTGGGGCTGTGTCACAGCGACCCTCAGAGAGACGTTCTCAGATGGCTCAGCACGAGGTTTACTCCAGAATAGGTTTACCTAAGAAAGGGAGAGAACTGGATTGATTTCACTGGTTAAAGCATTATTTACCAATAACAGAGCAACACTTCAAAATCTAGCAAAAATTCCACGGTTGCCTTGACTCAGAGATCATTCTGAAACCACACATAAGCCTTCTCTAGGAAAAGGAATTTTAAAAAGTAAAAAACTTTACTGCCACAGTGTTTGCAAGTGATGGAACGTCTCACAGTGGCATAAATCTAAATTACCCTTCACTCTCTATCTTTCCTCTTCCCTTTCTCCATCCCTCACAACTGAGCTCCCAGCCAGTGCTGGAGAGAAAGCAGCAGTACTACACATGTAGTAACTAAATATGAAGAGATTTAAGCATAGTTCTAGAAATGAATATAAATTTCTAACCAGTTTGGTTTAATGATACTTTTCCAAAGAAATATTACATTTCTTATACTTCACAAATATAAAGTTTTATTTTAAACATCATTACCTGAAACCTTACCTTATTTTCAAAATCAACCTGAATATGAATTTTTAGAGCATCATTTATAATTTCCCCATCATCTTCAATATAATACACCATGACACAGGCTTTTGGAGCCCAAGAATTTTCTGGTATTAAAGAGAAGGTTGTTGAATTTTGCTTGCCCACAGCCATCAACTGTCCCCTGGATATTACCTGAAAAACATAGTAGTTGAGTTTCATTTTATGTTAAAGCTAGTGAGAATTTCAACCACAGCTACATTTATCATGATTTTAACTATACACACAAATTTTTTTACTTAAACCAACTTCAAAGTCGATTTGAATGCCAGAAAGCCACCCTGACCAACACAGAGAGTACATGTAGGTTGGGAAATAGGAAAGGATAAGACAAAGCAACACTGACTGAGGCAACAGTAGTAGTTTCACTAAGACTCTATCTTTTGCATTATTTACAATAGCCAAGATCTGGAAGCAACCCACATGCTCACTGATAAACAATGGATAAAGAGGATGTAGTGGATATATACAATGGATATTAGCCAAAAAATAATGAAATCTTGCCATCTACAACAACATGGATGGTCTTAGAGGACATTATGCCAAGTGAAATAAGTCAGACAGAGAAAGAACAACACCACATGATTTCATATATATGTGGAATCTAAAGAGCAAAACAAATAAACAAAACAAAAAGAAACAAACTCATCGATACAGAGAACAAACTGATGATTGCCAGATAGAAGGAGGATGGGGGATGGGCAAAAAGATGAAGGGGTTAAGAGGTACAAACTGCCAGGTATAAAAATAGTCATGGGGCTATAAAGTGCAGCATAGAAAATATAGTCAATAATATTGTAATAACTATGTATGGTGTCAGATGGGTGCTAGCCTTATCAGGGTGATCACTTCATAAGGCATATAGATGTCTCGTCACTCTTTGTACACTTGAAACTAATATAATAGTATATGCCAACTATAATTTAAAATAAATAAATAATTTTTAAGAAATTTTTTAAAAGTCTATTTTTGAATGGAAGGAATACAGAGCATCTTTGGAAGACCTGGATTAGCAAAACTACAAGGCTAAGGGTAACAATTTTACTTTCTTTTTTGTTTTTCTTATATTTTATAATTTTCTGCAGTGAAGATATGGGGAATATCTAATATAAATTTAAATTTTAAAAGTTAAATTTTAAATGTAACGCAACATTTCATTACCTGTCTTAAATTGGAAATGCAAATATAGGCAAGAAAAGAAGACAGGCTATATTGTGATTACAGTATAAAAAAGACAGGCTAAAAAGTGTGAGGCTGAATTTTAAAAATAAGTAAGTTTAGCCTGGCCATTGTGGATCAGTGGTTGAGCATCAACCTATGAACTAGAAGGTCACGGTTTGATTCCCAGTCAGAGCACATGACTGAGTTGTGGGCTCAATCCCCAGTTTGGGGTGTACAGGAGGCAGCTGATCAATGATTTTCTCTCATCGTTGATGTTTCTATTTCTCCCCCTCTTCCTTCCTCTATGAAATTATTAAAAATATTTTTTAACTAGTATGTTTAGTCTAGACATAAGGTAGACACCATTTAAGATAATTCCATAATAGATCATAAATTTAGATTCTATAACAGATTACCATGTAGTTGAACTCCTTAAATTGCTTGTTGCCTCTAACCACCAACTCAAACGGTGATCCCACCTAGAAAAAACATCTTCATTAATATGTACATATTAATGGCATAAGAGTATAATTATATTACAATTATCAAGTGATTGTAAGCATTACCTTTATATTTTCATCTCTTGTTTTTAGCTGGATGTATGTTTTACTAGGAGACTTAAATACACCATAAGCTGCCATGCTATTCACACTATTAAGAAAAAAGGCCTATAACAAAAGAAAAGGGAGCTATAAAATTTTATTTTTTAGCAGCACCTTGAGAAAAGATTTACCCTGATGCACAATTACTGAAAAGCAAATACACTTTTACATTTTTTTCATGTAGGAAAAATACATTCCCCAGACACTAGATCTTTATCATTTCATAGCTTATACTATAAACAAAGTGATAGCTGTAAAACACAGAAGAGTGTCTTCATCTTCGTGATCTAAGAGGAATAAAAGCATAGTCCTAACTTATTTCAGAAACAAAGGTATATTATGGGGAAACATTGTGAGAAGGGAAAATGATACGAAAAAGGATTCCTTTCCTTTTCTCCACAACACAGAGCTCATTTACAAGCAAGAAATCATATTTGGCTCCTGCCAAAACACAATTTCAAGTGATTGAGAATCAACCTAGACTTGGAGTTTGGGGAGCTTCTCCACCATATTTTCAGTTTGCTATATTTTTCCATGCTTTTCAAAATGAATGAATGAGGAAGCATTCAGTATAACCTTGAGAGACTGTCATTAAATTAGTTTTAACACTTTCCCCCATTTTTAGAAATAGAAACATGTCCACTTCCTGTGCACTTTGACCTCCAGCAGATTGAATGCCTTACCACAAGGTTACAATTTTAATGATGCTACTGCAGTACCATAATGATGGAAAACAGATGGTACCTTTAATTGTAGCTGAGTGGAATTGTCCAGGATTGGGAATCCAATCTTTAAGATTCCATTCTGGGGGACAGAATAGTTTAGGACCTGGAAAGCTTCTATTTCCTGATTTCTATTATTCCATCCTCTCCCGTACTCTGTAGAGTTTCTCTGTATCACCATTATTGTTATATTATTCATTCTTTCTTCAAGAGTCAGTTGCTTGCCATCAGAACGTGCTACCTTCACCTAATAATCAAAACACAACATTTTAAAAACAGGTTACAAGAGAAGCCAAGGAGCCTGGCTGGCATGGCTCAGTGGTTGAGCATCGACCCATGAACCAGGAGGAAATGGTTCGATTCCTGGTCAGGGCACATGCCCGGGTTGCTGGCTCAATCCCCGGAGGGGGGGTGGGGGGGCGGTGTGTGCAGGAGTCAGCTGGTCAATGATTCTTTCTCATCACTGATGTTTCTATCTCTCTCTCCCTCTCTCTTCCTCTCTGAAATCAATAAAAATGTATTGAAAAAAGAGAAAGAGAAGTCAAGGATTTAAGTTCAGTTGAACCCAGTTTCCATCAATAAAACCAAACTATCAAAATTATTAGTGGCACCCTAACTTCCTGAAGATTCCACTGATGACTCCCTTCTTGATATTATAGCTTCTCTTGCCTTCAGTGGCTCCCCAACAACCTCCTTCACTTCACACCCCTCTTCCTCCATCCTCTCAGTGCCCTTCTTGGTTCCTTTTCCCTCTCCCTAAATGTGGAGATTTGTCAAAACCAAATTATCAATGATCTGTTCTTCTGTCTTCCTACTGCCATCCACACCTCACTCTGGAGCTCATGCTCAACACCTCTAATACCCTGCAGGATATTTCTACTTGTATAACCTTGTCATCTCAAATTCAACACATTTAAAACTGAGTAACCATCTCACCAGTCCTCTTTTTACTAACACCGCAATTCTGCCAGGCTTGTCTCTGAATTTTCCCTCCCTTTCCCCACCTCCCAAATCTAATGTACACCAAGTCTCATACTGTACTTCTCTCTTTCATCCTCTCCACTCCCACATCCACCACCACGAGGCTGCCAGCCTCCTGCACAGGCCCTTGATCAGTCCCCCTGGAACACTGCTTCCTCCATACCCCTCCACGTTCACAGGCTCCTAGGCTCTTCACTGCCTGGAGCATAAAGTTCAAACACGTATGTGAGCCATTTAGGATTCTCTACAACTCCTCAAGATCTGCCTCCTGTTTTCTTCTTGACGATTCCCAGACACAAGTTCTCTGCTGCAATTGCACTGGTCAAGTTGCGTCTCCGCTCATCTTGCCCGCCATCTCCCAACCCCACACCCAAACATTTAAAATCCTTGTTTGATCTTCTAACAAATAGCTTAAAGTTTCCCCTTCCACAGAGCATCCCTTTAATGACCCTCCTCCCTATCCCAAAGCCAATTCTTCCTCCCTCAGCTCTCATATACACATATATTTCAGAGAGGAAGGGAGAGGGAGAGAGAGAGAGAAACATCAATAATGAGAGATAACCATTAAACGGCTGCCTCCTGCATGCCCCCCACTGGGGATTGAGCCTGAAACCCGGGCATGTGCCCTGACCAGGAATCAAACCCTGGATCCTTCAGTCCACAGGCTGGTGCTCTATCCACTGAGCCAAATCAGCTAGGGCTCTCATTGTTTCACTCAACTCATTTGGAAGTTACTATATTTTTTGGTTTTTGGTGTTTGGTTTTACTTACTTACCTTTTCAAACTGTCAATTATAAGGTCACTGAAATCAGAAACTATCTAAAATTTCTCTTGAGTCATTCAACAAGAAGGGACGCCTCCTTTCTTTAAAGGAAGGATCAACAAACTGCAACAGGTTGGGAGGCCAAGTCCAGTCTCTGTAAATAAAGTTTTACTGGAACAGAGCCACCCACGCTGGTTACAAAGTGGCTGTGGCTGCTTTTATGCTACCACGGCAGAGTCAAGTAGCTCTGACAGAGATCATACGGCCCACAATGCTGAAAATATCTGCTATTATCTAGCCCTTTGCAGAAAAAGGTTGTTGACACCTATTTTAAATCCCTGTAGAAATGTATTCATGACACTTAGCCTGCCCTGAATTCTAGTTGTGTGTGTGTGTATTTTCTTATCACCATCACAAAAACTGTGAATCTACGGCAGGGGCTGCATCTTTCTCATCTCTCCAGTCCAATAGATCACCATGCCTTACACAGTGTCAACATTCACTCAATTAACAAGTGATAGTTCAACATTCTCTTAAAAAAGGAAAAAAATTAGATTTGTTGATCATTTTTTAATGCTACCTCTTTGCTAGAACTAAAATTAGTCACTATAAAAATCTAATTAAAATTGAATAATTTTGATCAGCATCTAATTCCTTCAAAGACTTTATAAAGACTTCATTGTAACAACCCAAATCTAACTTAAATAGGTTATTAAATAAATTTCGAAAAATACCTTTGCTGGAAACTACCTTTTTAGAAAAATTAGACAAAAGTCATTTGGAAACAATTCTATATACCCCATAAATCTAAATAGGAAAAGTAATCTGTCCACTTTTAGCTTAAATTTTTAGAAAAGCACTGAAAAAAAATATTATTTTGGACTTTGTTTCATTTAATTGAACTTAATGCTTTTAGGTCACTGATAAATATCCCAACTTACAGTGACTGTGAAGTTGAGCGATGGCTTCAAGACAGTAGCGTAATCAAAGAAATCAATGGCGTACTCATGCTGCTTGAAAAATACATTGGAGCTTGCATTTCTTGAGATACCTGTTTTGGAAATGACATCATTTAGAAAGCCAAAGTTATAGTTCACCAACAGCTTCTAGCCACCAAACGTCTCCATCTGAGCTAATTCCCCAAGGGGTTAAGATATCAGGGCACAGAAACCTCATGCCCACATCGGCTTCTGTGGCTATTCTGTCCTCCGTGGGTCCCTTCTAAGCACCATGACTGCCACCCCAACAGATTAAGGCCACTGACAGAAGAGTCTTTTGCTCTTTGGGGGATTGGTGAAAGCTGTTGAAATAGCAACAGAAAGATCCACATAATTAACCTTTATTTTATTATTAAGAGAAAACTGTCTGGGAGCACGTGTGATTTCAGAAGATGTTAAGTGATTTAAAAAAAATAAAACAAAGATGGTCAGTCAGCTAAAAAGGTATGCCTTTCCACGTGGTTCTCATGCTGAAAATAAAGAACAGAAATGGAAAAAATTACGACTATCTATCACATGTGGTTGAATTACAGACTTTTATAGGAAATAAATTTCCCCTTCGTGATGAAAACATTCTGCACACTGGACTAATGAACAGTTGTGACAATTTCAGCATTTAACAGCATCTTTAGAAAGGCAGTGATGTTCCCAAACAAATATGCCAGTTATAATAAGAAAGATGACAGAGCAACCCTGGCCAGCATAGCTCTCTCACATCGATCATTCTCTCTCTCTCTCCTCTCTCCCCCTCCCCCTTCCTTTCCTAAAATCAATGGAAGAAATATCCTCCAGTGAGGATTAACAAAACAAAACAAAGAAAAAAATTAAGAAAGATGACAGAGCAGCACCACACATATAACTGTACCTTCATTTCAAAGTCTACAAACCTGTAAGTGATTCTGTCACCGTGGCTAAAATTTCTACCGGCCCAGGGGATGATGGAGACATGTGTTCAGAAAGCTGATCTGAAAAATTCATTAACTTTTTCATCTCTTCATCATTAAAAGAGAAGTTTGCAGATCCATTTATCTGTTTTGTTAAAAAAAAATCAGTTTTATTCTTCACTTTAGCAATCCAAATTTTAGAACTAAAACTCAAACTAAGTCACATTAAACAATGTGATGGCTCTGGTTTGACTCTAATCACTATAAAAGGGTAAATTCTCACTTGTCCAATGTCAGAAAGCTCTTTTTTTCTTACACTTGGTTATTTTGTTAATTCAGTACAAATCTTATTTCTAGAAAAAGAATGCTCATAGTTATCCCCATTACTAGTTGTAAGACATCTGTAAAAGTTACCTTAAATTTTTTTGTAATATTTTTCTTAATGCCCCAAAAAGATAAAGGTGAAAATGTAAGTGTTACATCTCCTTTCACAGGCTTCCCATAGGTATACCTGAAAAATAATAAGTGGGTGGGGTGTTTTTTTTACATTTTCAATTTGATATTATCAAACTAACACAATTAAAAATATTACTTTCAATAGCATATACTGGCAACCCAACTTAAAAGGATTATATTAAAATATACTTTTACTACAAATTTTCAAAACTAAGCATAGCTAAGTGTCCTTAATAAATAGTTATCCTTGAAATTAAGTCTCCAAAATAGGAAGACTTTCAACTACACAACCTCAAAGCAGTTCCTAGAACACACTTTACCCAGACTCTAATCATTTCGGAGACCCCAGAGACAACAATAAGTGGAAGTGACAGTTTTCTGCTCAAAGATTTTTAAAAGATTATGAAAACCTTATCTTCCAGAAATCTGGCCTGACTGGCCCATTAACCAAATGCATGCCTAGGAGAATTCACAGTGTTTGAACATTTTAACATGTTTGTTGAAACTGCAATCACCATGGTTCATTGCTGCATGTTTCAATATTAATCAGGAGGACTTATTAGACCAAACATGCTAGGGCACCAAATGGGCTCGTGGCTCTCAAAGATTTTTTTTTTTCAGGAAATTTTAAAATAAGAGTACATGGGGTTTTTTTAATGCATAGTACCAAAATTAACTTCTTGAATTAAATCTCATCTCTGCTGCTTACGTTCTATGTATTAATTTTACCCCCTCTCATGATGAGAAAGTCTCTTCATGTGAAGGAAAGGCAATCTTTAGTAAATCATTTTCTTGCCAGAAAGCCTTTTTTAAATGTGTTTCCTGGGTTCCATCATGTCTATGTGAAATGTGAGCCAAACTTGGATGTCGATTTTCCTCTGCACTATAGAAATCAAACTGCGGCTCCTGCTTCCTGAATCCATTAGTTGAACACAGAAACTGTCTGAATCAACTCAACTCAAAAGTCAATGGTAAAATGTAGTAAATTCAAAATTAAGAATAAAATAAATCAGTCTTCAAATGATAACAGTGAAGTTAGTGGAAACCTGGGTTAGCAATTTCAGTATCAAATTCATTTATTCGAAAGAGAGTTCTCAAAACCCAACCTTGCTATATCTTATTAAAGTTTAAATAAATGCATATCTATAATATCATAATATTGTATCTTAAAAGAATGATATCACGTGAGTAGTACAGGGAACTTTAAACGCCAGGCATAATTTAAAGTATTCTCAGACACAAATATTTTTTAATTTTGATTTAAATGTGAAGCAGATTTAGCTTCCCAAGCCCCAAACTGATTATAATAACTATAAAACAAGGATACTGACAGTTATTGTCCTAAATAGAAGCTGGAAGCATTTGGGATACACTAATTTTTCAGAAAGTAGTAGTTTGACAACATTTTAAAAAGCAAATCAAAGATATTCTCTTTATAATTCTCCAGAACTGTGGTTAGTGGGAAAGAGTCTATTATTTATTTTAATAAAGTGGGAATAGTGAACAGATGTTCAAGTTATAGATTTTAAAACTAAAAAGAGATTGTTAACCTTCTTCTTTGGGTAATGTGCAATGCTTTGCACATTAACTATGCCTAAATGAGACAGATGGTTACTAGCAAAAAAGCAACCTAAACCCGGCTGGTATGGCTGAGTGGATTGAGTGCTTTCCCATGGACCAAGAGATTCTGGGTTTGATTAATGGTCAGGGCACATGCCCGGTTTGGGGGCTCAATTACCCAGTAGGGGGCATGCAGGAGGCAGCTGGTCAATGTGTCTCTCTCATCAATGTTTCTATCTCTCTCCATCTCCCTTCCTCTCTATCTAAAAATCAATAAAAACATTTTTTAAAAGGTAACCTAAATTGTTTATCATTTACTCATAGAGATGACTATAATAGCTATTATGAAACATTTTAAAATCATCTCTCTAACTTAATAACAACCATCCAAGTGGTAAGACAACAGAACTCATCTTTCACCAAAATACACCCAAAGAACAACTGGATTTCAAATCCCACTCTTTACCCTCTAATTCTGTGACAAGACCAAACCCATCGCCCATACAACTCAATTTGGTTCATTCCAAATAGCAGGCTTTTGATTGGGTATGAAGCTCTTTGCTGTGCTTCATAGAGCTTGGAACTGAAACCTTATGGACCATATTGTTTATCCACTTGTTCTTTCAATAGTACTTATTAGATACCTACAACATGACTAGCACTGTACTAGGCACAAAGATGCAGTGATAAGCAAGAAATAGACCCACCTTCAAAACGGTGGACTAGCAAATAGCAGCACTATGTGACTAGAGCTATGAGAGGTATAAAGACAGATGGTTAGGGGAAGTAGCCAAGCCTTGCAACAGCCTATTGTAAAGGCTTATTGGTCAGAAAAAGCATTTTGCATTCTTGAAAGCACAAGTAACATTTGGAAATAGAGTTTGGGAGGTTAGAGAAGGGTTTGAGTGAGATATTTCAAAGGACATAAAACTTGAAAAGAGCCCAGCTGGCATAGCTCAGAGGTTGAGTGTCAACCTATGAACCAGGAGGTCATGGTTCGATTCCCGGGCAGGGCACATGCCCGGGTTGCCATCTCGATCCCTGGTGGTGGGCATGCAGGAGGCAGCCAATCGACGATTCTCTCTCATCATTGATGTTTCTCTCTCTCTCTCTTCCTCTCTCTTCCTCTCTGAAATCAATAAAAATATATTTTTACAAAAATTAAAAAAGAACTTTGTAAGATATCCTAAAAATGTTGAACTTCATCCTCAAGGCAATGGTCTGAAAATTTTCATGCAAAAGAGTCAAAATTTATTTGTCTTTAGCCTAAAATAAAGAGAGAAGAAGAAGAGGGAGAGGAGGAGGAGTAAAGGGGGGAAGGGATGGGAGACGAGGATGGGGAGTGGGAAAAGGCGAACAGCAGCAAGAACTCTGGATGATTCAGCATAGAGAAAAGACTGAAGGATAAAACTGAAGTCAGAAAAACCTTTTCAGAAACTACAACAGTGACTAAGGAGAGAAAGGTGATGTTGGCCTGAATCAAAACAGTGGCAATGGAGATGGATTTGAAAGAAATTATGGAGTTAAAACAAATAGCATTGGATATTGATTAGATGTGGAGATTGAAGGAGTGGGAAGAGTGCAATTGACTTGGGCAGCTAAACAGATAGTGGTGCAGTCCACCAAGATAGGACACAGAAAAGAATCAGATTTAGGGGAAGATGACTAGTAAAAGAATCTGTGGGATACCCAGCGAGAGAAAACATGAGGATCTGTATCTCAATACAGAAATATGGACTAGAGATATAGATTCGGGTGTCACAACTTACAAACAGTAGCAGAAGCCCTGGCCATGGAGAAGATAATTCAGATGTGTAAAGAAAGAAGACAGCCCAAGATAGAACTCTGAGAAATAAGAATTTTTCAAAGATAGGCAGAAGGGAGTCGCCTTCAAAGAGCCTCAAAGGAGTAGCCAAGAAGAAAGAAGGCGGTGGGGCGGGGGACGAAAAGAAATAGAGAGGACAACAATGTCAGATCTACAAAGCGGGGAAAGGTAAAAGGAGTTTCAGTGGCATGACTCAGGGTGAAAGGCAGATTGTAGGGGGCTGAAGAATGACTGGAATGTAAAGAAGTGACAAATGCAACTCTAAGGAGGCTGGGAAGATAGGGCGGTATTGGGAAGGAGACAGGAGATTCAAGGGAAGGTTTGTTTCTTTTAATGATAAATATGTTTAAACACATAGTGAAGAGGCCACTAAAGAACAAAATAGAAGAAATCAAGGCACAGGTAAAAGAAGAAGTGAGATTGGGAGCCTCTGATAGGAGGCAGCATCCAAGGCCTAAGTGGAGGGACACAGAAGAACCTCCTCTGAAGGGAGAACAGATGTGGCTTTCATTATGACAGACATAAGATCATCATCTTCATCATCATTTCAATCTTTTCTGGGACACAGGATTTATAGAATAGATCTATGCCAACTTTTTAAAAACTATATTCTATTGATTTTTTACAGAGAGGAAGGGAGAGGGAGAGAGAGTTAGAAACATCGATGAGAAAGAAACATCGATCAGCTGCCTCCTGCACACCCCCTACTGGGGATGTGCCTGTAATCAAGGTACATGCCCTTGACTGGAATCGAACCTGGGACCCTTTAATCCACAGGCCGACGCTCTATCCACTGAGCCAAACCAGTTAGGGCTATGCCAATTTTTTAAAATATATTTTTATTGATTTCAGATAGGAAATGAGAGGGAGAGAGAGCGATAGAAATATCAATGATGAGAGAGAATCATTGATTGACTGCCTCCTGCACGCCTCTCACTGGGTATCGAGCCCCAAACCCAGGCATGTGCCCTGACTGGGAATCGAACTGTGACCTCCTGGTTCGTAGGTTGATGTTCAACCACTGAGCCACGCTGGTGGGCTGTCTATGCCAATTTTAATAGACTTAAAGAAGACACTGCTGGTCAGAAGGTTTCATTAGCCTGTTGCAAAGTTGTTAATTATATCCTCAGTCTGAATGAAAGCAGACCCTCCTGAAACTGCATTGGTAAGCTTGAAACTCATGATAGCTGGAACAGAGGAAAAGTTTATTCCTATGGGAAAAGGGGCCTAGGCCTTTGGATGATGACACAGAAGATCGCACTGCCCTGGGACAGAACTACCTTCCTTTGCCATAACCACAGACATCATCCCTAGGCAACTGAAGCTTGAAGAAAGGAGTCCTTTGGATTATTATCAGAACTAGCCAGATCTGAGAACTTCCAATGGCAAAAAGAGGCTCACTATCTACAACAGACAAAGCACACATACTGAAAAGGTCTTGATGTGTGAACGTCACTAGTTTAGAGTGCCCAGTCACACAATCAAAATTTAATCTACGTGTTGAGTTGAAGGTATTTTATAGTTGTGTTTAAATTCCATAATCAGCTGGCTTTAAGGAGATTATCCTAGATCATCTGGGTGCACCTGACTCAATCAGTTGAAAGGCCTTAAAAGCAGACCTTGGACTTCCCTAAAAAGGAAGAAATTCTGCATGTGGACAACTTCAGCCTATGCCAGAGAGTTCCAGCCTACCCCTCCTAACGGCTTCCTCTACAGATTTTGAATGTGCCTAGCCAGCCCCCACATTTGCATATGCTAATTCCTTGCAACAAATCTTACTATGTATCCCCTACTCATTCTACTTCTATGATAGAACCTTGACTGCTACACACACTAAGGAAAATGATGAAAATACAGTGTGGTGAACACTAAAGAAATGCCAGAGAGCCGACACAATTATCATGTCACTCTCAGCCATTCCTATTTCAAAGAGGCTCAACAAATGAGAATCAGGATGAAGCTACAAGGTTTGTTACTGGGCTAGGAGGAGGAGGGTGTGGCTTCAGGAGATATATACCCCCTAAAATTGTATATAAAATTTTCTGAAGTTACCAGAGTTTAAGAGCCACTGTTTTAACTAATTGTATTAAATCCCTGGCAAAACACTGAAAAACAAAAGCAAAGATTATATCCACCCTCAACTTAACCTATGCAAACACTGATGGGCTGTGTGAATTTGCACTTACTAAGTTTTATAAGCATTAGTCAAAGAACTCAAAATAAAACCCAGACAGAGGCTTAACCTTCAGCCAAGATCAAGGGCAAGATAAAAATTATGTACAATGCAGGCATTAATATGTTTTCTAAACCATAAATCCATCCACAATACTCAAGTTCACTTTGGAAGCTACTTCTTAGTTGAACATGGCAGAAAACCAACTTGGTGTATAAATCGGAGACATGTTTTTGCCATTGGGTTGCATGGGCTTCAGGTGATTTGGGCCGGATAGAATCTAAAGCAGGAGTCCTCAGAAAGTTTTGCTCTGTGGACTGCTTCTGCCAGGAGACTCACAGCCCATCACTTGCCACTGACACAAACCCTCACCAAGAGAGGAACATGGCGCTGAGACAGCAGTGAGATGAGGTCCAGTTTTTATCAGCTACTACAAATAAGTTCTGAAACTAAATAAATTTCAGGAAAAAAAGCTCAGATATTGATGCATCAAAAATAAAAGCTACAAGAGATCAGTCCTAGAATTACTTGAGGGCAAACCCAGGTTGTACTTTTGAGAACCACTAATTTAAGCCTATTCTGTTTGTTTGTTTTTTATGTTAAGTCTAGATATGTCAGGTTCCTTTTTTTTCTTTTTTTGTTAAATGTATTGGGGTGACATTGGTTAATAAAATTATACAGGTTTCAAGTATACAATCTATAATACATCATCTGTATACTGCATTCTGTGGCCACCATCCAAAGTCAAATCTTTGTTGATCACCACTCAACTTCCTCTACCCTTCGCTACATCCCTTTTCCTTTGGTAACCACCATACTATTGTCTGCATCTTCAGTTTGAGAAATGCTAGTCTGGAACTCTGAGGATGCTTTTTGTCTCAGCAAAGCCAGATGCTTTGCTGTTCAATCTAATAGATACAAATCACGGGAGTCACTATACATCTGTGGGTTGGAAGTCTCTGTGTACCTATGCTGAAATGATGAGTGTGAATTATTTACTCATATGCTAATTGCAATCAGACAACCAAATCCCTCCCCTAAGAGTCAATCTCCATCATTAACAGAGTAAAAAATTATGATTTAAGAAGAGGTAAATCACCTCCATTCATGCCTTAAGAATGAGGAATAACAGTACTTTTTTAAAAAAACAAATCTGGCATAATCTATAATGTAAATCCCTTGATTAGTCTTGGAAAGACACTAGTGTGTGGAAAATATTTCAGGACCAACTTGGAAGCAGAGAGATGTGTACAAAGATCTGTGCAGACGTGTTCCATGTTTAATTGTTTATTGTAGATATTTGTTTCCTGCCCATTGAGGTATCTTAATAAGCAGAACATTGTACTACTATTCTGTGGTATATGATGAGTTCTCTGTCATAAAGTTTTATAACAGTTTGTAGTCATGAAAAAGGATACTCACTTTGCTGTGACAATACCATTTAAACTCTTAGACTTCAAAAAATGATATAATGGTGTCTGCAGAGCAACTTCGAACTTCGGTAATACTGGGGGGAAAAAGAGTAAATATGTTAAAGAATCTATTTTACTATCATTTACAGCTTGACAAAAATCACAAACAGAATTGCTCTAAAGGAGTTTATAATTGGTGCTATTTGAAATTAGATTCATTATGATCCAAATGAATACACATTAAGGCTTAGATGAAAAGCACTTTACCCAAAGTCAGAAATCCAATGAAGCTAGTGACTAGACAGTGATAGTGGAGGCCAGTGGGAACTTCTGTTGGTAGAACCTACATTGTATCCACAACACTAAATGGAAATGCATCTGAGTGCTGTAAAGCAGCTGTCACCCACTACTGTGGCCTTACTATTTGATAAAATACTTCCATATTGTTTGGTAAACAGCTGCTTCTAGAGCAGCCCCTTCCCTCAGACCCTTTCACCAATTTGGCTACTAAAAGCACATCCTAGGGCCCCAAGTCTCTCCTTCTGGATGATGCCACATTTGCAGTCATATGCCGGGAGCCGGTCCATCCTTGCTGTTTCAAGGGACCTGGCATATATGGCATACTGTTCTTAATATGTTTGCTTACCTTCTTGGCACTATGTGTTTTAACCAAGGTCACCTCTCTGAGAAAGGTTGTTTCCCCAGGTAGGGATTTTCCCCTGAAGTTAGGGAGGGAATAAAACCCCTTAACTAAGTGCCAGGCGGGTAATTAATCACTTTAACTACGAACAATCATGCTTAAGCTACATAATCTTTACTCCCTGGAATGGAGATAAGAAACGCCCTAACCTTTGGAATAGAGATTGATAGGATTGGAATCAACTGGTATAAATACAGATGTAACAAGACAACAGGACACAGAACCTAGACACAGAACCTAGAGACAGAAGAACTTCGCTGGAGAGAACGTGGCAAAAGATTCTGGACAGAAACTAGAGACAGAACCTAGAGACAGAATCTAGCGAGAGAACATGGCAAAAGATCCTGGACAGAAACTGGCCTCAGAACTTAGAGACAGAACCAAGAGACAGAACCTAGCGAGAGAAAGGCAAAAGATCCTGGACTGAACCTGACTACAGAAATTGGCAAGAGAACCTGACTAGAACCTGGTGACTGAACCTGGCTGGAGAACCTGGACAGAACCTGGCTGGAGAACCTAGCAAGAGAACATGGACGCAGAACCTGGCTGGAGATCCTAACCAGAACTTCGCTGGAGATCCTGACCAGAACTTGGCTAGAGATCCTGGCTAGGCTGCTGATCAACTGAACGCTGTCTCCATGTCATTCCTTCTTCAACGTCTCCATCCACACCTTTGGGGACCCCTGGACCTGCTGGGGTCCAACCCCAGCAGTCATAGACTCCTTGTCCTTTGAGGCAAAGGCAAATCTAGTGACAGTCTAATGTAACCAAAGACAAAGTTGTGTAGTAGAATTTCTAGTTAATAGGTAAGATATGGCTACAAAATATTTTTTTTCTTGTCATAGGTACTGGTAGGTAATTCCAAAATTAGAAACCTCTACTTTAGTCAGCTTTATATAATTAAGATATTTTATCAATATTAATACTATCCTTTATAATAAAAGAGAAACAAGCAAATTAACCGTCCCTCTGCTATGCTCAAGCCACGCCCACCAGCCAATCAGGAGTGAGTAAGCAAATTAACCCAACTAAGATGGGGGTGGCCACCGAGTTGGAGTGAGCAGAAGGCTTGGGTTGCCCCCGGCAATGGAGGAAGCCCAGCTTCCCGCCTGCCCTGGCCAGCCCTCAGCTCTGCTCATGGCTGCAAAGTTTCAATTATAGAAGATAAATAAATCCCAGAAAAACAAAAAAGAAAGAAAGAAAGGAGAGGCTGAGAGCTTGGGTTGCCGGGGGGCGTGGCCAGTCTGCAAACAGCCATCAGCCCCTCACCCAAGCTGGCCAGGCACCCCAGTGGGGACCCCCTCCCTGAAGGGGGCTTGGCCAGCCTGCAAACAGCCATCAGCCTCTCACCCAGGCTAGCCAGGCATCCCAGTGGGGACCCCCACCCTGAAGGTGGTGTGACCAGCCTGAAAACAGCCCTCAGCCCCTCACCCAGGCTCGCCACACCCCCATGAGGTGAGGGTCCCACTGGGGGGCTTGACCAGCCTGCAAACAGCCATCAGCTCCTCATCCAAGCTGGCCAGGCACCCCAGTGGGGACCCCCACCCTGAAGGGGGTGTGGCCAGCCTGAAAACAGCCCTCAGCCCCTCATCCAGGCTGGTCAGGCACCACAGTGGGACCCCCACCCTGATCCAGGACACCCTTCAGGGCAAACCACCTGACCCCCACCAGTGCACCAGGCCTCTATCCTATACAATAAAAGGGTAATATGCAAATTGGCCCTAACAGCAGAACGACTGGGAATGTCTGGTCACTAGACACACACTGACCACCAGGGGGCAGATGCTCAGTGCAGGAGCTGCCCCCTGGTGGTCAGTGTGCTCCCACAGGGGGAGCTCTGTTCAGCCACAAACCAGGCTGATGGCTGCCAGAACAACGGTGGTGGCGGGACATTCCAGTGGGGATGTCCCGCTGGCAAGTGGACATCCCCTGAGGGCTCTCGGGCTGCCAGAGGGATGTCTGACTGCCAGCTTAGGCTTGATTCCCTGGGGAGCAGGCCTAAGCCAGCAGGTGGACATCCCCCAAGGGGTCCCAGACTGTGAGAGGGCACAGGCCTGGCTGAAGGACCCTCCCCCCGAGTGCACAAATTTTTGTGCACTGGGCCTCTAGTCTGATATAAAGAACTCCCCAGAATATACAATTTTTGTTTTCTTTCAGTCTACAGAAATTTTTTTTTCTAACTTCACTGGCCAAAGAAGTAGATCAATCTCATAAAAAGGCAACTCCCCATTCAATTAACACAAGAGTAGTAGCAAGAAGGCCAACGGCTCAACAACATAGGGCAGATCTCCAGCTCCAAACCAGGCTAAAGGCCCTTGGTGTGCCAAGACACTCCTGGACTCGAGACCCATCTAGGATTGGAGAGTCAACAAAGCCATAGGGGTCAACTGTGACCTTCCTCCAAGGCTCTCCACCAACACAGAAGTTAGGGGACACTGAGAGGTAGAGTTTCCTTAGAACAAGGAAATTCAAATGTCCCCTCCTCAAATATCATCGGTTGACAATTAATTCCCCACCTCCACTAGACCCCATTCAGCAACATACCACAACCCAGCACCACCTCTATATGAAGTGAAAATAGCCTATAAAAACCCTGGACACCCAGACTTATTCTTGATCAAGGCTGTCAAAAAGAAATAAAATGTGAGCCATACAGTGTAATTGTACATTTCTAGTAGCCACATTTAAAAAGAAAAAAAAACAGTGAAATTAATTTTTGCAATGTTTTATTGAACCCCACATATCCAAAATATAATCAGTATAAAAATGTATTATTAATGAATTATTTTTCTTTTTTCTTTGTGTACTGTCTTCAAAATCTTGCTTTACACACTTAGAGAACATCTCCATTTGTACTGGCCACATTTCAAGTGTTCAACAGCCACACATGGTGAGTGACCCCAAACTGGACAACAGAATTCCAGGTCAGGGGTCAGTAAATAATGACCAGCAGGAACTAAGAGTGTTTTTTGCACTTTTAATTGTTTGAGAAAAATCAAAAGAAGAATATTTCATGATGTAAAAATTATTAAAATTCATATTTCCATGTCCACAAACAAAATATTATTGGATCATAGTCATATCGCCTTACATAGTTTTTGTGGCTGCTTCGTGGCAAAGTTGAGTCAGTGGTTAGACAGAGACCCATAGAGCCTAAAATATTACTGTCTGGCCCTTTGTAAAAAATATTTGCTGTTCCCAGCTCTATTGATCATGAGACTTAGATGTGGTATAAGCTACATGGAGGCTGAGCCACAAAAGTATAAGCAAACTATCTCCAGAATTTCTAAAGCTGAATGAAACACAATCTCAAAAAAGTGACACAAATCATATAAAAAAGCTTGTGTATAACCTCAAAATAGCTATTAAAATTAAAACTAATACTAGATCCTATGCTTTCACTCTCATCTCTCCTTTCTCTTCCTCCACCAACAAAATGCTTGGCTCACACTTTTTTCATCTATGTGTGTCTAAGTGCAATATTCACAAAATTTTAAATATGTATATTATGATCAAGACAGAGTAGAAAAACAATAATTGAGCACAAGAAATAGATTAGCATAATGGAACTATAGGTGATCTTTTTCCTCCTTTATTTTTTATAATGACCTTTTATAACTTGCACTTTTACAAAGGAAAAAATTATTAGATCTATAAGAACCATCAGGATTTTACCTACACTGGGATTTTTACTTTAAATTACACATCTTTTGGAAATTTCTCTTATCTCTGTGGAAAGTAATAAATGTGTTTTCCTTCTAAATAAATTGAAAAACCCTTACCATATTCTGCAACCTCGAATAATTGATAATATGTCTGGTCCTATTGGGAGAAAGAAAAAAAAAGAAAATATATGAGTTCTTATTTGATTGTTTTGCTTGCTTACTTACCTCACAAAAAGATTTTGGGAGAATTTAATGCACTTATAATGATTTAATAAAGAAAACAGTTTATTTTCATTTGCAGAAGTTTATTTTTAATCATCTACACATGAAGTCTGTGGGATTTTATGAGTTTTTCTTGCCAATTCACTAACATAAAAAATTGACCTGACTCTAAGTATAATTTAAACAAACTGCTTCATCTGACTGCTCTCATTTGTGAAATGAGGCAAGGACAATATGCCAAATTAACAGGAAAGGACTTCAAATTGGTTTTAGAGATCATTATTTAAAAAAATGGAGAAAATTAAATTACACATAATTCAAATACTTATAAATAATCAAGAATACAAAATCATTGTGGACCAACATCCTCTACCTTTCCAATTACTGGAATTATTTTCTAGTGTATCCCTTAAATCAATACATTCTACCTGATTTTAATAGATATTGTTAATTATTTCCTTTTCCACAAAAGAAAAAAATGTGGCCTATCTTTTTCCTAACTCTTCATATTTCTATCTGTCCATTCTAAATCATAGGTAACACATTAAATAGAACTACTTCAAAATAGTTAAGTAATTCCATTAATAATATCGGTATTCTACTTCTGATTCCCTAAGTTATCAAATAAAATACAGAGATGCAGCTATAAAAAAAAAGTAGCCTTTTAAAACATCATCCTTGGTTAATCTAAAGCAACTGTACACGTTTCTTTTTAATCCTAAAAGAAGGATATAGTTAATTTCAAAGTATGAAACAAATGTAACTACTTATACACTAACAAAATAGTTGTCTATAAACATTCAGTATATAAACATTTTCAAGACTTCTTCCTTGTTTCCTTAATGGTTCTCTCTTTCTGATCCTGAAATGCTGGCCCTTCCCATCCTAAGCTCAATTTCTTCCCACTCTCCAGATGCTTAATGAGCTCATCAACTCTTACGGTTTTAACTGCCATCTCTATATGACCCCTACATAGTTATGTCTAGCCCAAACCTCAACCCAGAGATTCTCACTCAACTCCACCTTCTAGACATCCCCACCTGAATGGCCTACAGAACGTTCTGGACTTCTTTATCTGGATTTAGCCTCCACCGGGCACCCGTCCTTGATTGCCTCTCCCCATGTTGTTAGGTGGACCTTCTCTCCCATAATCTCATTTTACTTAACACAATATATTATCTTTATCTGCTTTGTGTCCATCTCCTGTAATAGAATACGAAGCCATTAAAGGCACAGCACCTAATTCAGCATGCCTTCAATGTCTTTTGGTTTGAATGCATGTGTAAATGAATGAACAAATTGGTTCCTATCCCCACGCTGGTTCTTACAGTGTTCATCAGATTAGTTAGTATACAGTATCCCCTGCAAGAAATTAAAATAACCTTATCACAAGCAGAATCAGACTTCCCTGAAGAGGCATGGCCATCTGTCAAATGACCCATAGAATAACCTCAACTCCCTGCCCTGCATTTGGAAGGAATAAGGATGCCAAGGAGGGAAAGAAGCCAGCCATCGTGGAAAACTGAAGAAAAGGCAGAAGGAACGTGCTTCTTTTCAATGTCATTTTTAATTGTTCCAATAAATCAAAAAATCATTTTGTAACTGGGTGCTGACAGTGTGCTTTGTCCCAGGCAAGGTTTTCCCAGGTTGTTTATAAGTGGTGAAATGCAATTCAAAAAAATAAATTATTTGGCTGTTCAAGGGGCTTGAGAGGCAGAACTGGATTTTGTCATTTTCAACATATTGTCTATTAGGCAACCAGGCCATACCAATTTTCACGAGTTTAGTTACTTTTATAAAATATTTTTACAAAACATATAATCAAGAATGGTGGAAAGTTACTAAAAGATTTAAATTAATAATAATTCAGAGAATGAGTAGCAATTTGTGCCACTTATAACCACAAAAACCCTGATACTGAGAAGTTTCATTAGTCCAGAACAGGGATTTGCAAACTTTTTCTATAAAGGACCAGACGGTAAATATTTTAGGCTTTGCAAGTGAAGGGGTTCAGAACAGCCCTCCCCAAGGTGTGCCACTTTAGCATGAGAATTATTTTGAGCTAAAGGCAATTGAGACCCCACAGGCTCATGAGAAACTTTTACCTCTCCCTTAAAGAATTTAAATTTGGGGCCATAATAAGAGTTATTACCAGAAATAACTTTCTATGACCGATCCATAGGGCAGGGCAAACTTCTAGTTACTGAACATTGGCTCTTCTTAGCAGCCAGCAAATGACCTTCCTCCCCTCCATAGCCCCAAAGTACTTTACCTCAGCTCAGAGGTCACAGGCACCTCATTTTAACTTTCTGTCTCTGGACCTCTCATGTGTGTGGGGTTCCCATAGGTACATATGTAATTCAATGTTATTATTTTTTCTTGTTAATCTGCCTCATGTCAACTTGATTATTAGACCAACTGGAAGAACTTAGAAGTGTAGAAGGAAGTTCTTCCTCCCCACATAAGCCATATGGTTGCTGTTTCAGCTACTGTTCTTTGCTATTGGAGTGCAAAAGCAGCCAGAGACAATGGGTACACAAATGAGACTGTCCGTATTCCAATAAAAGTTTATTTACAAAAACAGGTACTAGGCTGAATTTGGCCTATAGGCCAGGGTCAGCAAACCCTGACCTAAAAAGTAAAATTTAGTCCAGACAGCATGGTTCAGTGGTTGAGCATCGACCTATGAACCAAGAGGGCACATGCCTAGGTTGCAGGCTCAATCCCTGGTGGGGGAGAGGGGGGAAGGGTGTCGCAGGAGGCAGTCGATCAATGATTCTCTCTCATTATTGATGTTTCCATCTCTCCCTCTCCCTTCCCCTCTGACATCAATAAAAATATATATATTTTTTAGAAAAGTAACATTTATTTCCAAATTGTTCTATGTCAATTCTAACGGAACTAAATTAAATTTGACTAACCGTGACTAAAAACATGCCGCAAAACCAACCCGAGGCCTTTAGAAGGAAGTGTGAGTTTCACTTACTGAACAATTTTCCTTCAGTTTTAAAGAAACAATCTGCTTCAAAATGAGTTTTATGTTTACTCTAGCTCATCAAATCCAGCTTGTGCTCATTCACTCTGCCAACAGCTGGAGAGAGAGGCTGACCTGAAGGCATAAATACTTGGGCAGCATGTCTTTTAAGCAAACACCTTTCCAGGAGAGAGAATATGTAACTCATCAATGTCTTCTGAGTTCTTTCCCCAATATGGTCACTGTTCCATGGGGAAAGCGCTCCCTTAGAAAACCAGCTCTTGGAACAGACTGAAGGTTGCCAGATGGGAGGGGGTTTGGGGGGCAGGGTGAAAGGTGAAGGGACTGAAAAGTACAGATTGGTAGTTACAAAAAAGTCATGGGGTGTAAAGGACAGCATGGGGAATACAGTCAATAATATTATAATACCTATGCAGCATGCCAGGTGGGTACTAGAATTAACGGGGGGGGGGGGGGAGGTCACTTTGTCAATTATATAAATGTCTACGACTATGCTGCAAACCTGAAACGAATATAAAATAATACTGATTGTCAACTATAATTAAAAAATAAAATTCTAAAAAAGCATTAAAAATAAATAATATATTAAAATCTTCAACAATAAGAGGAAAAAAAGAAAACCTGCTCTTCGGCACATGTATCCACTTTCCATGCGTAGTAGATGTAAGCCTATTTCAGTTAGATTTTCTAAACAACTTCTAAAGCAGGAATGGAAAAGAAGAACCAGGAGGTGCTCTCAGTAATCTCTGAAATTTCTTTGTCTCTTTATCCCTAAGTCAGTAGTGGATTGTGAGAGTGTATGTGTGGAAACCAACCAGATGAAGGGGGAAAGAGAGAAGACACACTGTTTTTACCATCCTCCCAAGAAATATGCTCTGACTAGAGTACAAATTGGAGACGTGAATTCCATCTAATCCAGTTACAGAATTTCCCTTCTCTAACCATGAAGCCATCCAACTTGAGAGGGTTTCTATTTTTAACAAACTTAAAGAGATATGGCACACTTCGTGACCATTAAAATCGATGTTTTTTTTAAATGCGGGGAAGCTTCTTTCAACTCTTGCTTCTGGAGTTAAAAAAAAAAAAAAAAAATGCCAGAAATAGAACTGAGGTGCAGGATGGATGATTTCTGTTTACATATGTAGAATCATTTCAATTTCCCAAAGTCTGCTTTAGCAGTAATCTCCACTGTCTAGATTTATTTTTATTTAAAGATGAATAAAGGGACTGAATTTTTTACATCCACACATAACAGAATGTTAAAATAGAAGTATTTCAGACTCAGTGTTGGCTTTGTCCCCCAAGACAACAGATGGCAAGGATATCTACATTCCAAAGTGAGGTAAGACTAGCATGCAGGACTTGTGAAGGAGGCTGTCAAACACTAGTTTTGCAACTCTCAGCCAAAAGCACCAAGATTAGAATAAATTAGAAAGGAATTTTAGGAGAAAGCTTTTGATGGGGTAGGAGTCACACACACCCCACCCCCAGGGATTAGGTGGACATTGGTCTTTCGCCTTCAATCATAGGCCAGCCCAGAGAGCTGGATGCATGTCCCTTGACCATCCTCAAGTTGTCAGTGGGCAGGCATTGACATGCCTGAACAACCTCAAGAGCAAATCCTGCTACTGACCAGCTGCAGGGGCAGCTGCGCTACGGGAGCGCTGAGTGGGGTGGTCTGCGCGTGCTGACTTTCAAAGAGCAAAGAAAGTATGAGCATTTCTCCCCAACTAGACAGGCAAAAAAAAAGAGAGAGCCAGCAGGGGCTGCCTTCTCTCATGATCAAAACCAGTCTCTCTCAGGGTAAGGCAACCTCAGGAGACGGAAGCTGGAGGTGAAGTGTAGATGCCCAGAAGCTGAAGATGGAGCTATGAGCTGCCAGTTGGAGGTGACAAATTCAAAAACATCAAAGGCACTTTGGGTGAGAGACCTCCCAGCAA